GTTGACTAAACCACCAGGTGTCGAACATACAAGTATTTTCAGTGTTTCTGTTTTTATATGATGAAAAGGTTGCCTGAGCTCTAGGAGCTTTAGGTTTTATCACAGGATAGTCTGTGCTGTCAATAATAATCCAAGTTGTAGGAAACTTTAATTTGAAGTTGGATGGCGAAAAATACCTGACTAAACCACTAAATGGCCAAGTGTTAGCCTTACGCCACTGTTTAGACATAAAAACAATCCATGTTTACACAACATTCTTAACACTAGTTTCAATCTAGAATCTAGACAGTTCAAAGTTGGTTGTATAATGCCTCAATTTCATCAAAGTCATAAAAAAACTGATTTTCAAATGACACCCTATCAATTTGAAAATATATGTATCTCAAACAATGTGCTGCTTGACCAAGTGTGGTGAAAACAAATAAAAATGAAGTATACAACTCTAAACCAGTATAAAAATGCATGGCTGTGTCACGTGTCTTCATTTCAAAATTCTCTGCTGAAAATATAGGCATTGATGGTGTTTGCGTAATTCCATCTGTGAAGCTCAACAGTAGCTCGGCAGTTGGTGGTGGACAGTCATAAATCCTGTCTGCAGTATGAATGACTTCTTCAGGAAAACCAACTTTACAATCAAAACTTTCCTCTAGATTTCTACTACAATATTCATCAAGTTTAGTTCTTTTGTTTTCACAGGAAACTGCCCTGATTTTTCTTTTTTGCGGACGATTCAGTCTCTTGCTTGGTCCAGGAAAATAGGCTGGGAATGGCAGTAGACTTAAGTCTCTGTATGATGGGTTTGCGCCCTGAAAAAGGTTATAAAACATTACTTTTTTGATAATTAAATGAACTTCCATTAGCAATGCATACTTTGTACTACCTGGCAAAATATTAACTAGATTTATTCATTACAATCTGGATAAAACTATGTTAGCCTGAATCAATGTACATCAAAATGTATGTTATGTAAATCCAAAGGACAAACAATGAGAGACGTATGCAACAAACATACATTGTTTGTACCTAAATAACTATAATATAGATGAGAACATGTCATTGTTTTGTTCCTGTTAACATTGTCATTGATATTTTTCAAGAAAGTCTATGAGGCATAGCTTATGCATTCCTGTCATTACTACATAAGAATAATTACTGCTAAAATAATTCTCAGTATGATATTATACCTCTTGTAAGAAATCATTATAATTGTAGCAAGCACCAAAAAATCTCAAACAGATCACATTGAATCACATTGAATCGTAATCCAAAAAATTATGACGTAATTAACCACCCCCTTTTTTTCTAAAACGATAATTGCGGTTGTAAACAGACTTTGGTTTATTTGCATGGCGATTACATATATAACTATATATTTTAAAAAGAAAATAGAGTTTTACCATGAATAGTTTCCTGCACGTAGTCTTTTTCAGTAAAATGTGCCTTGCAAACAACAGCTGATTGAGATGGACTCCACGATTTCATCGTGTTCATCGTGTTCTCGTCCAATCTGCGTATGGGCCATGGCGTTGATCCAACTTTTCCTTCTTTTTAAGTCATTTGGAAATGCATGTCCTCCTCTTAAATGACATCCAGGTACACAACAACAAGTACTTGGCATCGTTAATTAAAAATGCAATTGTAATAGTTGCACAGTGCAGAAACCGGAAGTTGAAGAACAGGATCGACTACCAAGGCGCCACCTACTCAGGAACGATAATTTGCTACTTTATATAATTGCGAAATAACAATAACGTTAGACGGGTTTGCGTGCATAAACAGAAATGCGCTTTAAATTGTATAATATAATACATGTTCAGTCGACCTTTAATTATTATATCAACGACTGAAATGATTTATAAACATCTAGATTGCAGATAACACTCGAAATTAACCCGACCTCTTTCCACACGGAATTCAAATAATTCTAGTTTGTCAATCGGTTGACTGCTTATAATGTAAAATACAAATATATCAAAAGTTTTTAAAACTAACAAAACACAATGATCGTTTCTCTTTTTCCCAATGTAAATGAAATGAAACAAAAAACATTTTATATCACAATAAGAAGAGGAGAGAATCAACATTTTCCGGATCTACTTGGAGCCTAATGACCCCCCACGTAGATACGTTGGATATCGCGGAAAGAAAGATTAACACGGCAACTAGAAAGGCATTAAAGCACTGCCTTTAAAAAGTATGTAGCAGTTTCATATAGGGTAGGACATTAGTCAGCAAAAGTCAAAATTGGTCAGGTCAAGTTTTCTAACTCTTAAAGATATTTTTTCTAATTTTTTTCTTGTATTTATTAAAAAAATGTTGTCATCTTGCTTGGTTCCAAATTTAAAGTCAATCCGTTTAAAAATATAAAAAAGTATTTAGCAGTTTCATATCGGTCATTACATCAATCAGTACAAGTCCAAGTTAGTCAGGTCAAGTTTTCTAGCTCTTAAAAGTATTTTTCTTGCATCTATTTAAGAAATGTTGTCATCTTGCTTGGTTCCAAATTTAAAGTAAATATTTTCAATAATAAAAAAGTATTTAGCATTTTCATATCGGTCAGGACAATCGTCAGGGCATTAGTGTAACCCCAAAAGATCAAGTCCCAGAATTTACAATTCGTTTTTGTGTTCACTTTAAAAGAGGGACGAAAGATACCAGAGGGACATAGATCGAAAATAAACTGACAACGCCATGGCCAAAAATAAAAAGACAAACAGACAAATAATAGTACAGATGACACAACATAGAAAACTAAAGACTAAACAACACGAACCCCACCAAAAACTGGGGATGATCTCAGGTGCTCCGGAAGGGCATGCAGATCCTGCTCCACATGTGGCACCCGTCGTGTTGCTTATGTTATTACAAATCCGGTAAATTGTCTAATTCGGTAGGTCACATTCGTGAAAAGGGAAGGGTATTGTAGTTACGACATAAGGAACATATCTGATATCATCTGTGAAACAGTTATTCCATAACGGTCAACCAACTCGTGATGGCGTCCGTAAAATTTACGAAGGGATGATTTCAACTTCACCAATTGGAACTCTTGGTTTAAAAGCTTCCTTGTGAGCTAAATACTTTCTAGCTATTTAAAAATACCTGCATTGATTTTTGGTGATATAAGACATTTACTTCCATTTTAACCTTATGTTTTATATTTAGCTACAGCTGTCAAGTTTGATATGCAGGAACAAAAACACTTTTTACTAGAAGCTGCAGGGGTCTTTGAGAGGAGAATTTAGAAACTAGAGGCTCTAAAGAGCCTCTGTCGTTCACCTTGACCTTTGTGCATATTCAACAAAGGACACTCTCCAACATTATAGAAGAGAAAAGAATTCATGACAAAAATCTCCGTTTTGTTGATCTTGTATTTCTGATCATTTAGTCTGTTTAGTTTCTCTCTATCTTCTTTAGTTTTTGCTCAAAACACAAAAGAGGGTAAAAAAATCCTCATTTAAGGGCAATCACTCCTATAAAGATTTTATCAGCAAAATTTGACTTGTTAGTAGATCTTGCCTTGCTGATCATTTTTGTGAATTAAAGTGTCTAATAATCTATTATAGTTTTCATCATGCAAGGCAAAACCCCCCAAAAAATGGTAAGAATCGTCATAATAGGGCAATTATTCCCAGAAACATAGGACGACTTCCTCGATATTGTCTTAGTGGTAGATCTTGTCTTGCTGATCATTTTTGCTTATTTAAGTTTCTATCTATCTATCATAATTTTAAAGATAAAAAAAAATTGGTAAAAATCATCATCAAAGGGCAATAACTCTTATAAGGAGTCAGCTGACAATTTCGACCATGTTGACTTATTTGTAGAACTTGTCTTGCTGATCATTTTTGTATTTAATGTTTCTCTGTATCTATTATAGTTTTCAAGATAAAAGGCAAAAAAGAAAACAAAAATGGTAAAATTTGTCATTTAAGGGCAATAACTCCTATAAGAAGTTGTCTGGCAATTTTGATGTATATGGATTTTCTCTGTTCATTACGGTTTTCAAAATAATAGACAAAACTTGCATTTTACCCCTATGTTCTATTTTTAGCCCTGGCGGCCATGCTGGTTGGCAGGTGCGGTCATCGGAAACATTTTAAAACTAGATAGCACAATAATGATTGTGTCCAAGTTTGGTTAATTTTGGCCCATTAGTTTCAGAGGAGAAGATTTTTGGGCCAGGTGAGCTAAAAATGTACAAGGACAAGTGATGGCAATAGGTCAGTCAGAGTATAATCCAATGTGAGCTCAAATATAGGAGGCACATGATGCCTGTATACAAGAGGATTTTCTAACAGTTCCATTGTTGTTGATATGCAGTACAATTGGACGAACACACATAATAAGGAAACAAAAACATGTTTTTTTGTAACATAGGACCTGAAATCACATACTGTGGATTGATTAATATTGTTTAGAATAAAATTTTTAGATTCTTTGAAAGGAGCAAATAATGAAACTATCAAATACTTATTCCAATGAAAATAAATGAATTCACAGTAATAAGCTTAAACACTTCTACAACTCAACTGACCAAATAATTCACTGAACAATTTTCCTTTTTAGAAAAACAAAGGGCATGAATATGAGTCAGGTCCCACAATCTTTCTGAAAAAATTGCAAATTACAATTAACTAATCAGAAAACTCCTCTAAAAACATACAATTCTGCAGTCACTTAAATGGTGATCTGATTTAACTAAAATGCATACTGAATATATTCAATCTCTCAGTCATGCTCTGGACATTGACCTTTGGAAATTTTTACAAAGTTCAATTTTTGTGTACTTTGCAAGACCATTGATGTATTGTATGGTAACATATAATTGATTAAATCCATGTTTATTACACCTTGTTGGATAATTGTCTCATCAGCAATCATTACACATCTCCATATTTTATATAAGGTGTTGAAAAGGATGTCATTCACTGACATAGTCAGAAAAGTCCTCATACAACATCCAATGCAGTGGAACAATAAATGAGGTTTTATTCAATGTGTGACAATATTTTAATATAAACCCTTGTTTAATGATATTCTGTTTGTGTCCAATAAAATATAACAATGTTTGATCATTATAGGTATAACTGTATAACAATAAGAACATTATGATGAAGAAGTTCATGCAATTGCTGCAATGGAATTAACAGTGTACATCATAAAATAATTTGTAGGTGACATGATAAGTAAGTCAATCACCATCTTATTAAACTTTCAGTGTCCACGATCTTATTAACAATTTTTTGACAATGTCTCATATATTTTTAATGAAATAGTCTTAAATATATCAATCTCCAAGCTATAACATGACACAATAAACGCTATCTTCTGTGTGATGATTCCTGTAAACTTTGTTCCATTAATTGTAAATCATGAGAATCGTCTTTTACAATTTGTATTAAATGTTTCAGACCATCTTGTTGCTGTTTCAGAAGCTGAAAACAAAATAAATATGTATTTTCATAAAAATAGGAAATAAGGAGTATACATAACTGACACATCATCAATCATATAAGTTTGATTTGAAACAGGCATATAAATATGTGATGGGGAAAAGCAAGTCTTATCCTCCTTTATCATCTTATGACCATGCAAAATTATTGTTTGTTTCCCCATAGCTAAAAGCTACCTGACTAATTTTGACAAGAAGTTTTACATTCATTCACATATTAAAAAGTTCAAAGTGTTGGCAAATGGGAAAGTTCATGTAGGTGTCTGACAGATCAGATATGTGTGAGCTCACACCATACAACTTATTACTGTAAAACTGCCGACTTAATAGCTTCCTTTAACCAAAAACTTTAATTTGACAACACAATTATTTTCATTTACCTGTGTTTAAAGTAATTGCAAATGGCTGATATTTTTGTTCAAGCATATTGTTTTTCTTAAATTGTTAAACATTTCACAGCGGTATAACATGTTACTTTAATTATTCTTCCCTTAGTTTATTTATTTTGTATTTACATTGTATCATAGATCAAATTTATTTGTTCAGTGTATGTTGACTGGTGTTAATAATATGTCTTTTGATTGAGTTAAGCCATTTCAACTGATAGAAAAAAAGTGTTTTTATTACTTTCATATGAACTGAGCCATTGCAAACATTATCTTTTGACAAAAATTTTACTTGGCTGAAGTCTTTTGTGTTTTGTCAACTGAAAAGAATGTTAATGTCAATATATCAAAAGTAAGTGGCATTTTTCTGTTTAATCTCAATGTTTACTGTAACACTAATATTATTTAATATAAAAGAACATATGCACACCACAACTTTGTTAAAGCTTACCTGTTTAATTTCTTGTTGTAATGATGGGTCCATTTGGTAACTAAAATCAGCTCTATTTCCTGCTAAATGATTCTGCATACGGATTTGGGACATTAATTCATTTAGCCTTCCCTGAAAATAGTCATATCAAGGATTAGTAAACAAAAAAGTTACAAAAAAATAAATGACTAGATTTTTTCTGTTAACATTATTAAAGGTACGTGTAATCTCATTGTGATTAACTACACATATTTTGATTTTTTTTCAATGTCATAAAAAATCCTACTACAAATGAACCCACCATTTTCTTCTTAAAATGCCTTTACCAAGTCAGGAATACAGCAGTTGTTTTTCACTTGTTCTGTTGATTGATAGCATTTGATTTTGTCAGTTTTCATGGACTTCCTCTTTTTGAATTAGCTCAAAGTTCAGTATTTTTGTTATACTTTTTTTACATAGTAAAATTGAGAATGGAAATGGGGAATGTGTCAAAGAAACATCAACCCGACCAAAGATCAGAAAACGGCCGAAGCCCACCAATGGGTCTTAAACTGATTCACTAAGAAGTCAATAATTCTAAATGTGCCATTGAAAATTAAGAAAATGCTTTTTTGTTTCATTAATTTCAGTAGAAGTTGTCTCCCTTATTCTGTAACATGCACAATTAGACCTTTAGTTATACAGAAATCATGATCAGGAAATTCCATTATCTAATTCAAATAGGCACCAAGAAATATTTGGTACATCTCTCTGGTATACATGGGGAACAAATAGCAACATATGATCAAAATAAAATTGAATTCTGTCCCAGAGCTCCAGATAAGAATTCACAAATTGGGGTTTTTACCCACCATTTTTTTATGTAATTGGGTGATAAAGTTTTTTAATTGCATTATCAATTCCAATTCACCCCTCAAGCAAATATCAAATTGGGTTTTTCACCACCAAGCTCCTTAATGTATTGGGTTTTTTCATCAACACAATATTGAATATTTAGGCATGTTATAATCACATTATATCAACCCCAGATGTGTTTCCATCTTAAATTTGTTTCTTTCTTTGTATATGTGCTTAGCTGTTTTTTTTTTGGGGTTTATTCACTGACGAACAATTGTACGTTTAATTTGTGTCCCGTTTTAAACGTTCTGTCAGTTTTGTATTTTCTCAAAACTTATGTAAACTGCAGCTGGTGTCACTAGTTGGACAGTAACTAATTGCCTTTCTAGATCCCATATGATCACCCTACAGTTTATAGTTGGGGTAGGTGTGGCTAAGTGTTTAGATTTTTATGTAATATATGTGAAATTTAGGTGCTGTAAGAAAGTTTTGCCAGTCCTTTCACCTATTTGCCAGATCTACTTTTTAATAACAATAAAAAGTAGTTCCCAGATTTAAGATATACCCCAAAACCTTGAGATTTATAGGGTGGTTTAATGATGGAGACCACATTCAACTTAAATTTACAAATAATTCTGCAACATCAAGTAAATAAATGACAATGTTATACTGCACTTGCCAATAAGACAACTATCTTAAGCATCCAGAACAATTAGACCAAAACAAAGAAAGTGTCAAGCTGCGTAATTTGACGTAAAAAACGGATATGTGTATTCATTCATCAACTAAAATGAAAAAAAAAATAATATATAAACTGTTTTTGTTTAATTCAATTTACATAAATCTGGGTTAAGTTGTCCCTTATCAGAACTTTTGGTTTCCGATGCTTTTCAACTACATATCATGTCATAATTGATTTGGCCTTTCACATTTTCCAACTGATTTTGTTTTTGACGAAACCCCGTGTTTATCGTTTTATAGCAATGTTCTCATACCTTCAAACAGGCCCGTGCGTTCAATAGACGCTTCCTAAAATCACTAGCTGAGTCTTGTTATCATCATAACTTTCCCTCAATTATCAAAAAGAAGCCGAAAACATGCTTCTATTCAATATTTTTATCGGACATTTACTTTCGTTTTAATTCATTGTATGTTATGATAAATCCCGAGCAATTCGAAAAAATATGACAGCATGTAGCCTGGCATCCTGACCCAATCTAATACTTCGTCGATCAGTTGGCCAGGATCCCAGGCTAGACAGCATATCACACGCTAATTGGATAAACGCCCAGAAGAATTCTAATTGGGTTTTCCTTTGAATTAATTGGGTTATTGAACCCTGCAATGGGCAATTGCATTGGGTTTTTAATTATTTGTATTGCGTGATCACGCAAATAAGCAGCTTATCTGGAGCTCTGCTGTCCAGTTTAAATACTGAAATAACTTGTTAACTTATTTATAGATTTTGTCCTGCTGATCATTTTTTCTGGTTTCATTTTCTCTTTATCTAATATAGTTGTTTCCACAAAAAAAAACAAAAAAAAAAACACAAAAATTATTGAACAATTGTCTTTTGAGGAAAACTAATAACAGAACTCAATGTTGACCATGTTTATATTAGATGTTAGATCTTGTCCTACTGTTTATGTTTGCTGTTTTCATTTTCTCTCTATCCATCATGTCTATAGGTTGTACCTTGGAAATAGAGGTTTCACAAACCAAGCCATTATTGGGGAGATACTGAACTGATATTTTGTTTTGTTTACCTACTGGTTCCCAGATATGATCTTTATATTTCATCTCATAGAGACAGAACTTAAATGTTTTACCGGTATACATACAACGAAGGAAATCAAGTGTTGAGCTAGAATGGCCCTTTGGGCTAAGTGAGCAAAAAAAAGAAACAATAAATTTGCAAAATATATTATCTTACTTTAAATTGTGTAGGATGATTTAATTCTGCTTGAGTTTTCTCTAAGTGGACCCTGAGTTGCTCTTCATCAGCCTGTATTGCGTAACCCATCTTTCTGAAGATTTCCTGTTTAACCACCACTTGTAGTAATCTGTGACTCAGTTCTATGTGTTTTCTTTTGTATTCATCCATTTTTGACATCATATTATTTTGTTTTTGTTGGAACTGTTGTAATTCATTTGCTATCATCTGAAAAAATTATGAAACTAACTAACAACTAACAATACAGTAATGAAACATTTTATACTTAAAACTAAGAAATTCAAACATGTTTTAATTGTTATACATTGTATTGTTTAACAGAAAAGATTCATGTTTTGACCAATAGACACACTGAACTAGTCAGGGCTTCCAAAATTATTTTTAGCCAGCTGGACATTTTATATTTTATCCCGATTTTAATCCCGTAAGACTAAATAAACAAAAGGCAATTATGGTTATCAGTTGCCGAGTTGGCCATCCCAATGATTGACATAATTTAAACAAAAACAATATTAAACTTTCTTTGATTCAAATTCGAAGTTATGACGTAAACTGTTAAATTGGCAGTGCATCATTCGAAGTGTGCAACATCAGCATACTTATATCTGCCTTAGACTCTTTATTTGTGCAAAATAACGTTGTCAAAAACTTTACTTTCGTTTTTAAATCTACGGATGTTATCGTGACAATGGTAAAACATGGACCAGAGACGGATACGTAAATTCCGTGTACGTTTGCAAAGCATGAATGAGTGTAAGTAGTTCTTTCTAAGTTATTTCTTCAAGAAAATATTCGAAATAAACAAGAGATAAAGGTATCAATGACAATTTAAACATTTTTTGAAGAAATTAGGATGAATAATTAAATTTCACACCTGCGCACATGCGCACACGTGTACTAGTTCAAACAGAGATATGTCTCTGGTTCAAACAACATGGTTATGACAATTTTCATTTTCACCTCTTTAATTTTTTCATCAAATCATATTTGTAAATGTATTTCTGATAATTTAAATCTTTTTGACTAAATTAATTAGATGCAAACCGGTGAAATGTAAGAAAACAACTTTGAATAGACCGATCAATGTCCGGTTCAAAATAGTTTACCTGTCACCTGAACAGGTAAATTTCAGCTGTTCGACAACTAATTAGCCTTGATTAAAATAAGAAGGTATTAAAGTAGGGGTTGTTTTGATAGTACTTAATGATCATGTCACTTTTATGACCGGAAATGTGTGGCTGTTAAAGGCAAAAGGTTGGGTCAAAAAGATCGCGAATTATGTTAAAATGACCGTCTCTTAAGAAAGCCTTGAAAACTAAAAAAAGTAGATGACCGTTTCATGCTTTGCCCAGCCGGACTTTTACCGGACATTATACAAATGTCCGGAATATATGACCGTTTTGGAAGCCTTGGAACTAGTACACATTTTTGTTTAGGGGGCCAGCTGAAGCCCGCCTCAGGGTGAGGGAATTTCTCGCTGTGTTGAAGACCCATTGGTGGCCTTCGTCTGTTTTCTGCTCTTTGGTCGGGTTGTTGTCTCTTTGACACATTCCCCATTTACATTTTCAATTTTATTTCAATTAAGTTTTTCAACTGGTGATGTCATTATTTTTATATTATTATGTAAGTATTGCTATATAATATGAATAAAAAGGAGTGTATGGGTTATATGTCATTGTTATGTAGCAACCCCTACAACCCAAGTAAACACAGATTCTCAATTACTAAGACTCAGAAATTCTAATGAACTGCAGTTCATAATCTGGCAAAACAAAAACCAAACAACATCTGAGGTCAGCAAAAGACAGAATTCATATTATCAAACTGCCTTTGTTAGTGTACAACATTTCAATAGTAATTGTTTATACATGAAATGTTATTCAAAGTCACCAAATTTTTACTGAAAAACATTGAACTTTACAAAATTCAAAGGTCAAATCTTATGAATTACCAAAGACCATTCTCTACAATGGACCTAAACAAACCACTTTAGCGTGAATTGTAGGTCAGACTCAATCAGCATGCACTGCATTATAGTGGTATATATAATATCACAAACACATTTCTATAAGTCTCAATCAAAATAACAGACTGAAAGAGCAAACTTTAACAAATTTAATGACATACAAGAGTAAATGAGTATGCTCATGTCACATTCCTACCCAGGCAAAAGAAACAATGGAAAATACCATAAAGCGGGTTATTTTCGCGGGTGTAAAATTTCACGATTTAGGGGCAACAAAGTATACGAAAAATTTTGGCGGTTTTTATTTTGGTGGATTCTCAAATCCCAATTAAATATTTTGGTGGATACTGAAACTGTTGCAGTTAAAAAGTTGTAAAACTTGACAAACAAGTAAGTGTTTATTGTTATGGTAAAATGATTTGTTTTTACCTAAATGACGTCTTATTTATTGATTATATTCTGATACGTACAGTTAATAAATAGAATACCGATGACTTAGATATTTGTTACAGGTATTCAAACTTCTTGTAAATTTTACGGTTGATTAGTTACGAAATTGACCGGACCTTTGATGTACTTACTAATTAGGTTACAAAATTATCATGAGTGTTTACAACTCTTGTATAGTTTGACACTAATTAATAAGGGTAATTATCTGATCAGAGTACCTTACACTCTTATTCTAATTGACACTTATTAATAAGGGTATACACACGTGACAGTCATTTTATAAAATACATGTATGTACAATGCCCATTTGGCATTTATGTTGTTTAAACTAACATATACTGCTATTGACTTGCAGACCGGGAAAAATAGATCGTTCACAAAACGCTTTAGCTATTAGAAAGTACCCAAAGTATGCATAAATTTTCGCGGAATTTATTTTCGCAATTTTCGTTAATCTGCCAAAATAAGCGAAAAATAAACACCCCACGAAAATAACCCGCTATACGGTAATATTACATCAAGTCTCTGTTGATGAGCTTTTGTTTGCTGTTCCTGGTGTTTCATTCTCTGTTGTAAAGCATTAAATCCTACTACTGGAACAGGGATCAAGTTCTCTTGGTCAGGGTTATCTAACTTTGCCTGCTCCCAAATGAATGGATGAATTCCTACAATATAAAACACTCAATCTCCATTCCTGTCATTTAAGAGATAACTGTATTGTATTTGAATCTTTGAGGTCGTCCATCGGTAGTTTTACTGCCACAAATTGAGTTAACCTGGCGACGAGAAGCTGAGAAAGATAAACAGATATTTGCGACAGTACAACTACAGATGGACATTGGCAAAGCTTCAAATACAATACAGTTATCTCTATCCTAATGAAAAATAAACAACTCATTCAATTTTAGTCACTATTTCAGTGTTGAATTTTCATTAAGCCAACATTCAGCAAAATGATGTTACCTTCTTTGGTACCTAAACCAGGTGACGTCATTGGTATGCTTCCGATGTAAAACGTAAACACTAGATTTTTCTGGCTTCTTGTCGGCCTCAGAATGTAAAGTTTGATATAAAGAAGATTTCTAAGTGCAAAATGTGATATGTTTTGCTTATTTTTGGAGAAAATAAATGTCAATACATTCCAGGATTCAAAAAGTCAGCTTCCCTTAGTTACAGACAGGAAAATAGAGAATTTGATGCTGATTGTCCATTGACACAAAATGATTGCATTAGAATGAAGGTTTCCCTTAGTATAATTGATTTAAAGATTGTATTGTTTTTGACCAGTTACCTTAATATTTTGACATCAGTAATTCGCTACATCCAGTTTCAGGTTAAAGTTTTAAGTTAAGATAGGATACCATGAAATTGTCATGATTGTGGTCACATTAACTTGAAATTTAATACACATGTTAAATATGAAGTGAATTTTAACGAAAAAAAATAGATATGCCAATTTGGGTTTTGACCCAGATATTGCAGCTCACTGAAAACTTGGTAATGTGGTAGTGTTAGTGGTATCCTATAGAGACATTTCTTGTCTTTTCCTGCTAGACATCAATCATGTCATAGATAAAATTAGCATTTTTAAAAAGATTTCAGAAAGCTAACCAGCAGGAGGGTTTTCTAAATAAACTTTCAGTTGTTCTGGTGTAAACCCAGTTTTCTGCCAAATATCTTCTGCCGCAAGCTGTGTTGTAATTTGTTGTTTTATATTGGGTGTGTTCAGGAACTGGAACAGCTCACTTGCTGTTATTCTTTTGGCAGGACCACTTGCTGGTCTCTCTAAGATGTATATAACTAGTTCAGTTCTAGAAAAAAAAGTAACACAATTTTGACATAGATCATTTAATAATTCAGAGATATGTTTTTAAAAAATGTATGACAGCATCTGTTTCAAACCTAATATTTCATTACTGTAGTTATCAAAAAGCTGTTGGCCTTTTTAAAAGTAAACTTTTAAAATAAGAAAGAAGTGAATTTGATACATCCAATTGTATAAACAGTGCTAAAACTGAGATTGTAAATCCATCAGATTAAGATTTACCTGTCCTACATAGGCCCTTTTAAATGTTCGTGCTTTCTAAGACTTGTTTTACATTTGTAATTTTGGGGCCTTTTATAGCTGACTATGTGGTATGGGTTTTGCTCATTGTTGAAGGTCATACAGTGACCTATAGTTATCAACTTCTATGTCGTTTGGTCTATGGTGGAGAGTTGTCTCATTGGCAATCATACCACATCTTCAGACTTTTATATTTATATCATTTTAGTTCCAAACTTTTGGGTTTAAATAGCATGCTTTATAAAAGTCATTCCAAATACATGTGTTGTGTGCATCACGGGGGGGGGGGGGGGGTGGGGTGGACTTATTTGAAAGGTGAACTTTTTGAATTGATTTAATTTAATAATATGATTGACCAGTAATAATGTAAGATAGCATATTTATATATGATATGTAGATCATACATACCCCAAATCAAGGGTCCAGAAATGGTCATATTTGCCAGTCAAGTCCGAAACTGAAAGCTATTTGTCCTAAACAAAAAATTGGGATTAAGGACTAATCTTATTTTTTTACAGAAATAATTTCGGTCATTTCATTCAGATTGGGTTTCTTCATAGCCATTTTGCACTTGTTTTTGTGTTATAATCCCTTTCCTGTAATATAACTGCCACTCCAGTATAGTTTGATAATCCTGAGGGCCCTCTTAATAACTATATTATGCCTCAAGGAAATATTTGCTAATGATTGCTAATCACTTTTTACCTGTATTTTTAATTCACACCTGACAATGATCACAAGTTAGAACTAATATCATAAAGAAATCAAAATTCCATGACAAATGTATTCATTATTTAATTACTTTTCAACAAAGATAATCAATAATTCTGATTTAAAAATTTAAACTTAATTTAATTAACGAAGAAAAAAGTATTATTTCATGAGTAACACATATGCTTTATTTACTGTGTAATATGCATGCATGAAATTGTCTTCAACAGATAGGACACTTAATTATAAAATGCAAAATGATTTCATGCTTAATTAAACAATGCAACTAATATCTATTATATTTAAACACTTTCAAAGTTAATAAAATTAAACACCCGGTGATTTCCTGTCAATTTGATAAACAAAACGAATACCGGAAATGAGTCCGGAATTACTTGTACTTTAGTATTGTCACAAAACTTCCAGTTTTAATTTCGTCTTCAAAATCCTAAATCGAAAGAAACATTAGCGATGTCTGAGAAATTAACCATTTTGAGTCATTAAAATAATTTCAATTTTAAACTGATGCCCTCCCTAAACTCTTCTTCGACGTTTTAAGTAGAATGGTAAGAAAATTCACGAAGTAAATGCGATGAAACAGTCAATACAAGTTCGTTGATGCTATGAATCTAGTGAGTGTGAAATCAACAATTTAAAAAAAGGGTAACTTTTAAGACATCTCAAAATGACCGAAATTGTGTAAAAAACTACCGGATCCTTGCCCCAAATCAATATACAGTTATCAAACGTAAATGCATTTTAATATAGGATGTTTATAAAAAGGAGGGTCATTTTTATATAAATTCTCGCAAAATTATGACCCATATTTTTGGCACATCCCTGTACACCCAATAATAGGAAATGATCCCCCCGTGGTGTGCATGGACTTTGTTAAGTGTGCTTTGCTCCACACAGTTAAATTGGTATTAGGTAAAAATTTCTGTTCATGCTGTTTTGATGTTGCATTTTGGATTTTTGAAAGTCCTTGTTTTAAATGCAGGTAAATTTAACGGCCTTAAATTCCTAAATGTATTTGGGGAAAATAACCTACTTATCATCAGGAAGAGTTTTGATTCCCTCCACACACACAGACAGATGAGGTTTATTTCCAAGAATTTTAAACAACTGGTCTACCACTTGTTGTTGTTGTGCTGTAACCTCTGATTCTTTTTTCTTTATCACAACAGAGACCAGTCCATCCTCATTTCTGGACCTTGGTAATCTGTTGTATCCTACTGCCTGCAATTAAAAATACATTAGCTTACAATTTTTTTGTTATATAAATGTATTTTATTGACATTAATTAAATTATTCAATTTATATATGAAAATAATCACATTGTTGTATTAAAAGATATTTATAACAGTTTTTATTCCACAAAATTTGAATAATGCCAATGATCATGACATCATTACGCTGTAATTGTTTGCTACAAAATTAATGCATTTTTATTATCAAGAAAAACATGATATGATTTACCATAAAATGATCACCACCAATAAAACTGCTGTGAGAAAGTGTAACAGTGCTTGTAAATAAAATTTCACAGATACTTTATTCCTCTAAATCTTTAAATTAGTTATCTAAAAAGAACTTCTACACAAGTATATCATTGTGTATATACATGATATACCAGTATATTTTCAATTGATACTGCTTAACACTTGTGAGCACCTGAAATCATGCCAGGGTATTGATGGGGGTTTTATTTTATTTTTTAGAGTCTTTAGTTTTTTATGTAGTGATTTGTAGACTGGTGTAAACTTGTCTTTTAGTTGTTTTCTTAATTTTTTTCATGAATTTGTTGGTCTCTCTTTTTCGATTAATGAGTTTGATTCTCCTGTTGGTATCTTCCGCCTACTCTAAAAAAATAAAAATAAATGAATGACATCTTCAATGGCAAACCCATTTCATGAAATTAATTCCTTTATTTTGACTGAAAGGTGTCAACTGATGTCAGAGCATGTACCTTAAACCTGCAATAAGGATTGTCAGGGGTAAAGTTTACAAAACCATTGCTGCTGTAAAATCCCTTTCCTGTGCCCCAATATGCTTGTAACTGGTTCCATTTAGCAATGATGGCATCCCTCTCATCTCCATAGATTTGTGGCAGTGTAACAGCAGTGCCCAGTAATTCCAGACTAGATTGTTGTGCTTGTTGTGCTTGTTGTTGCTGCTGAGCTTGCAACTGGGGACCTAATTTATGCAAGAAAATAAAAAACAGACATGGGAAAGTTATTACTTTGAAAATGAATTAAACCAAATCCTTTCAAAACTGTCTCTAACTAAACAAAATATTTTTGCGTGTAGATTTTGTTCAGAGAAGACAGGTGTCAGTTTACACTGTTTGAAATAATTAGGAACACTGTATTTCTTAACAAAAAAATTTATTTTAGAATTATTTGTAGTTTTTATGCAAGATTCAGCTTGAATAGGTTTTTATCCTAATTAATGTACAATATTTTAATACATTTATTTCATATGCCTATATCTAAGTCTATTTGTTTTTGAGAGTTTACGAGAAAAATTTTCATAATTTGTACTGTACTTTCAGAGTGGCTATATTAAAACTGAAGTCTGTGCTGGCATTGAAAGGTGGTGTTTAATAATCAGATAATATAAATCAAATGCAAATATGCATACAAAATGAAAATATGCAAACACGCATAAAGAAACAATGTTATGTTAAACAATATGTCATATTAAAACTAAACACCACAATCATCTATAAAAGGTTAAAATTTCTGAAAATTACAACAACAACAAAAAAAGGCAAACGACCTTTCACTAAAGTTGCAAGCTAAGACATTTCAAGAAAAAACAAGTCAACTACATGTATACATACATACATATGTAATATGCAAATAGTGATCCTAATAGGGTGGGTGGGAGGGATAAAAACATGGTTTCTTTTTAATTTGTATGTACATGTATATTACAGTCAGGGGTACTACTTGTACAAGTAATTTTTATTTACTTGAAGAAGTAAATAAAATATACTTATACAAGTTAATTATATTGTTTGAATAATCTCCCCTTAATTTTCTAAAAAATTTACTTGTATAAGTAAATTTTTTTTACAATCCCACAAAAATTCTCAAGTTTTGAGATGTAAAATCATGCCTTTAACAATTTTTCTCAGGTTAGCTCATAATTTTTGATAAGAGTTCAATGTTTCATCTCATTAATTCAACAAAGAAACTGATTGAGCAAAGATCTTAAGTATTTGCGCAAGGCCTTCAAAAATTGCTCCTTGGGGGCGTGTAAATGAGCAGTGTTCTAAAGATAAAAGACAAATGAGATTTTCATTGTCCATGAAATTACACTTAAATGAATAGTAAAGACATCTGCAAAGGACAGACAATTCAAAATTCTGTTAGAGCAAAGAAGTTCTACGAATTCAAGAAAAGAAGATAGGATGACTTTTTTACTTGTATAAGTAAAAAAATCTGAATGCCTAAGGGACATAACTAGGCCAAAAAATAATTTACTTATACAAGTAAATAAAATACACTTGTGTAAGTATCCTACAAATTTACTTATATAAGTATATTATAATTACTTCTTTAAGTAAATAAAAATTACTTGTACAAGTAGTACCCCTGACTGTATTATGTGCTAAACTTATCTCTTTTAAGAAAGAGCTAAAGTGGTGAACCTAAAACAAGGAGAACGCCCCGAACAAATTAAACAAAATGACTAGCCATTTTTAATCTCTAAATACATGAAATAAAAGAGCTTGGGTAATGTTTTATCATTATTGCAGAAACCATAGCTTCTAGTACAGTCAAGGGTGTAACTTGAATAAGTTATTAGAGAAAAATAACATACATGTGTTATTACGGATACTTTCTCTTAATCCGTAGTAACATATGTTTGTTATCAGTTAAATGTACCATAAAAAATCTTATTTTCAGTGGGCACTTGGGAATTTTTGAAACTTGCGCAGTAACTTAATACATAACCTTGAAAACTAATTTTCCAATTCAATTAATACATTTTTGATCAACCATGGTAAATCAATGAGACAAGGCTTTTAAGTGATGACTTAGCTGTAATAACAAGGCTTAGTTATTACAGGCATTTAACTTATTACATGAGACACTTGGGAATGACTAGGAAGCTTGCGCAGAACCTCATTACATGCTCTTATCATTATTTATAACAATAAATTAAAATACATTGTGATATATGTAGGAGAAAAGGCTTTGAAGAGATGTAGAGAAGCTGTAATAACACCCTTTAGTTATTACAGGCATATTTTTTCTGTAATAACATGTGTGTATTATGCATGATTGGCAAACTACAAAAATGAACTATGGGCTTTTATATCTTTCTAAAGTTTAATATACATAAAGACAATTATAATATATATCAATAGAGCTAGTACACAATTTAACAAAACAAAGGATGTATAATGCCCCTTTTGAAACATGTAACATACATATATGTTATCACAGATTTTTTATTTTTTAGCCCTCAATAACAAATGTATGTTATTTTTCTCTAATAACTTATTTAAGTTAGACCCTTGACTGTAGTAAATGACAAAATGAAAAACATGTAAACATATTTTTGATACATGTCTATTTCCTAGCAGATTTAGGTAATTTTGTCTGATAAACATTCATCTGTATCCCTTTTCCTTGATGAATGATGAAAAAATAATAATTTACATGTCTAAAAACATTGCAAAGGAAATTTGAATGACGAAATCTATTTTCCATACTTAGATTGACAATTAGTGCATATAATGTACTTTCTAGACACAAAGGAGGCTTCTTTAACAGGGAGTTTCAATTTAAAAGTATTACATATTTGTAATAATGCTTCTAATTATAGTTTGGATTTTAAAATATCTTTGAACTATTTAAGAGACCATACATACTGACAGTATATTCATTCTGATTTTCCTGATAAGTTTTTAGCATAATCAGTGTTGATAAATATATCATCAAACATATTATCTAATGGTAAATAACAGCTGTCCAATGTGATAGGTTGTTTGTTTTATTTTAGGCATGTTATATGCAATCTTTCTAACATTTATTTGCTTTTCATTAAACCTTTCTTCTAAACAAAGACATGTACACCTTGTTTGTACATTGTACAGGGTCTGCAAAGACAACAAACTTGTGAAAATTGTCTTTTTGTTCCCTGCTTTTAGATTAAATAGCTAAAGAACTATATCATTTTCAGTTCATACCTACAAAAAAATAACTGACGGACTGGAAAATATACAGTCCAGTCTGCAGCTTATATAAATGTACCTCCTATTGTTCCAAATCCTGTGGCTCCAGTAGCCCCAAATCCTGTAGCTGCTCCAGTTCCAAAACCTTTAAATGCAGTTCCAGTTCCAAATCCACCTGCCGGGGCAGCTCCAAAACCTGTTGCTGTGCCAAAGCCTGTTGTAGGCTGAGTTGTGGCTGTTCCACCTAACCCAAATCCTGTACTGGCCCCAAAACCTGTCGTTGCACCAGTAGCAGTTCCAAAGCCACTAGTTCCAAATGTAGGGGCTGTTGTCTTTGTTTGGTTAAATAGACCAAATCCTGCATTAAAGATAAATATTGTTTACATTTGTATATGTTAAGAGACCTTAGATAAAACACCTTCAGCAAAAGTTTTAATTTAGATCTTATTTCTAAGACCATGAGTTGCAATCTTTAGGAAGCTTTGAACTAAAGAAATACACACCTAGTCTAAAAAATAAATCAATGTACACTGTCATGACTGTGGAAGGATGTGAACAGTTCTATATTAACATGATTAATCTGGGGCAATCCAGATTTCCCTACACCCCATTAGTCAAATAACCATAAATCTGATACCCTGGTGGTCCCAATGAGTCCGTCTTACACTATGATATATAGAAATGAGACAACTATCCACCAAAGTTCAATCGAAGTAGATGTGAGAAATTGTAGGCAACTATACGGTCTTCAACCAATACCGTACAGTCAACTATGGTTTATTTTAAGTAAGATTGTAGTGGCGAGTGAGAAGAGAAGAGAAATAGCTAACAGAAGTTTAGGGCAGAATAAAACACCCCAAGTGTGACGGACGGGTGAATATGGGAATATTTATGCCCTCAACTTGTATAGTAATGTGTCACCCTGTCGGATTAACAAAATGTCGGACTATCGAGCTGTCGGACTATCGAACCATCAGACTAAAGGGGTGTCGGACTGTCGAGCGGACCCCGGCATACTTCAGGCTGCTGTCCAATTGTTTAACCACTGATATTGGTTCCATAAAGTCAGGCTCAAAAAATTCTTTACCCGATTTGTTTCAGACAGAAACAATTATCGTGTCGGTTTTATGAATATCCGCTGCACCTCGTCAATGATATCATCGACATAATTCCATGTGCAACTCTGCTTGAATCTGTATTAACATTTTACTTTTAATCTTTTTTGTTTGTTATTTGTCTTAAAATTGACAGAAGACGACAGCGTAAAGGACTCCTCCATGACTTCATAGATACCTATAACAATTTCCATGTGCTTTATCATTAAACAGTCCCATGAACGCTTGACAGGAAGGTAAGAAAAACCAAACTTCAAACGTGTAATCGACCTAGACTTTAAATAAATTCCGAAAGACCCGAAGTTTCGGATCTCAACAATAGAAGTATTAAAAATAATTTCTTCAAATTAAAAGCAATAAAATTTTCACAGTCGGGCAGATTTTTGAAGGTTGGTCGGTAAACTACAAACAAACATTAATTTTAATCTAAGCCTTACCTTCAAAATACAGAAAACCTGGTTCGAGGTCAATTTGACAATGCTTGAGTACACATCATATAATTATAACTTGATTGACTTGTTCCCCTTTACATTGTATGTATTTCAAAATTCACAGAGGTGCAAAGTTGCAGTATTGAGTAATCTTAATAAATTCCATTCAATAATCCATAGTATTTGTACTCAGAACCTTCAAAAATAGCCAAGCAAATACAGTCAAACCTGTATTAAGAGACCACTCAAGGGAGAAGGCAAAAGTGGTCTCTTAATACAGGTGGTCTTTGAATACAGGTTTCACAATTTGAATAGAAGAAAGCATTTATGTGCATTTTAACTTTTGAACGTACTAGTGTAAGTAAACAGGTAAACAATATTGTATTGGTCTCATATGTATATCCACAATGACTAATTATGAGAACTGCTCATTGTGTAATAAAAAAATTTCCTTTCCTTTTTGTATTTCTTTTAATTTGTTCATATATCACAAGACAGGGTTCTTGCTATGTTATGTCCAATCTAATTCCTGTGAAAATACCCCAGGGTGCAGAGCCCTCAAATGTTCTTCAAGATTTTATATTTATTGTCTCATTATGCAAGGACTTTCAAATACCATGAATACGTTTTATTCAATTAAAAATATAATTTGATTGCTTGTTCCTTATAACTGAATCATAACTGTCAAGAAAAGTTTATTTTTATCCAGTCATGCTCATTATAGTGTAATCATTAACTTCATCATCGTCATTTTTGGCAATTTTTGTCACAATCATATAACTGCCAATAGCTTCGTTTGAATAACCAATTTCACTCCACTCACGAGTTGAACTTTAAAATAATTAGTAATAAGCGATCTTTGGCTTGGTAATAAACGTTCTGATTGTTGAACTTTGTGGTAAGGCCAAAATAAATAAATAGTGTGTTTCCTATTTCACCCCGAAAAAAATTAGGTAGGGTAGGTAGGTAAAACATTTTATTTTATGAAAACTTTTTATTTTTCTCTATTGATGACAGCAGAAAAAGGTTCCAAATGAAATCGTTTGATGTGCCTGCTTCTTTGATATTTAGAATAGTACTTAAAACTACAGCTTTTTAATTTTCTGTTTTAGTTCTGTGTAAGAAATATGAAAATAAACTTTAATGCAAATTTTATGCATTTCATGGGTCGTAATAGGAATAAGTTATTGCCGATTAATTATCTTAAAGCAAAAATGGCAGTGAAAAATTCATCATGGTATTGTTATGTTTGGCCTCGTTGAACCTAACAATGTAAATGACACACAGGGTATACATGTTGGAACAGATTACTACTCCCTTTCTTTTAGTAGTAAAAACACTGCAAATCGATGCTAATTAAGTAGCGGCTTATTATGATTTTTCGAGGGGTAATACTCTTGCACCCTCTTCATTTAATATATAGATGTGTTTTGATGTTTGACAGAATGTAATCTTGAAGAGTGGGCGGTTCTGACAATATTAAAATTCCAGGCTTTGAGAAGAGCGAGATTGCGAAATCTTTGTCTTATTAAATCTATGGCAAAAACAATTGTAGATATGACATGAATTTTTTTCCTTCTCTAGTATAAACTGTTGTGGGACCAGCCAGAGAAAATATAAAAGAATAAAAGTAGACATGGTGCCGGGGCAGATTCATTTATAAATGATCATGAATCATACCCCATGTCTGCCTACTGGGAAAAGCTTTCTATTTCTCGTTACACATTGTCTGCCCCCTTGCCGTCATTCTTTAACTCAAACTGTCAAAAGCTCAAAAGAATTAACAGCCGTTTATGTTGCGTCCTGAGAACACTTTTTTACAACATTCGTAAGAGCATTTTTTACAACAAAAGCTGGATTGATTTTAGCAGTAAATTAAACTCATTTTACTCTAAAATTATTAGTAATATTTGTCAATTAACCGACAGAATGAGATACAGTCTGTCAAACCTGAAACGATTCTGACGTTTGGTCCAAAGAAGCACAGGTACAAAATGAGGTTTTGTTAATATATGTGTATATACTGAATACATATTCACTATATATACAAATATTTAAAAAATCTTGTACCTGTGCAAAGAAGTTGAGCAATATGCGTCAACTTCGTATTTTTTTTTGTCTATAGGTCCATCATGGTGTTCTTCAAAAAGATTCATCATATTGTAATTATCCGGAAACGATGTCATTATATTTTGCGTCCATGTGATCACATTTCGCATATTTGACAGCTAATACGCTGCACGGTTGTCGAAATGCCATGCTTGCTTATTTAAAATCTTGGTCCTTGAAACGCTTTACTTATCCATATTGGTCATTGCTATCAAACGTTGTGAAGATCTGTTGTTTTCTATACCAATAATCGGATCCGGACAGACCGAGAAATCCGGATTTTTAGCATTTTTAAAAAATTTTTGTCAATAAAATGTTTAGGGTCGGCGTCAGAAACGGAGGTAGGGTCGGGAAACCGGAAACACACCATTTATTTATTTTGGCCTAGCCTAAGGCCAAAATAAATAAATGGTGTGTTTCCGGTTTCCCGACCCTACCTCCGTTTCCGACGCCGACCCTAAACATTTTATTGACAAAAATGAAAACAAAAATTCAAAATCCGGATTTTTCAGTCTGTCCGGTTCCGATTATTCGTTTAGAATAGTATAGATCTTCAAAGCGTTTGATAAAAACGACCTATTATTGATAAGTAAAGCGTTTCAAGGACCAAGATTTTATATAAACAAGCATGGCTTTTCGGCAACCGTGTAGCGTATTGATCCGTATTAGCTGTCAAATATGCGAAATGTGATCACATGGACGCAAAATATAATGACATCGATTCCGGATTATTACGATATGATGAATCTTTTTGAAGAACATCAAGCGGACCTATAGACGAAAAAAATACGAAGTTGACGCATTTTGCTCAACTTCTTTGAACAGGTACAAGCGAGATTTTTTTAAATATTTGTATATATATAATGAAGTGTATTCAGTATATATACATATATTAACTAAATCTCGTCTTGTACCTGTGCTTTTTTGGACCAAAAGTCAGAATCGTTCCAGGTTGGACAGACTGTATCTGTCGGTAAATTGACTAACAATTTTATAGTAAAATGAGTTCAAATTTACTGCTAAAATCAATACACTATTGTTGTAAAAACATGCTCTTACGAATGTTGTACAGAATTGTGCCCAGGACGCAACATAAACGGCTGTTTATGCTTTTTAGTTTATGATGGCAAGGGGACAGACAATGTGGAACGAGAAAGATGAAACTTGAGAAGCTTTCCCCAGTAGGCAGACATGGTGTATGATTCATATTCATTTATAAATGAATCTGCCCCAGCACCATGTCTACTTTTATTCTTTTTTATTTCTCTGGCTGGTCCCATAACAATTTATACAAGAAAAGGGAAAAAATCCTGTCATATTTACATCTGCAATTTATTTGACCAGTAGATTAATGAGGTACCTTCATGACGAATTGTCACGAAATAGAAGTTCCTTCATAATAAAAGTTCCAAATGGAAAAAGTGTTCTGGAATAAATATTACAGTATATGTTCCTAACGGAATGAATGGTATAGAATATTTGTTCCAACAGGAACAGATATTATGACATTGGTTATAACAAAGTTTCCAGTGGAACTTCTGTTAGGCAGAACAATTATATGTAGACAGAATAACGCTAAAAAATCTTGCCAAACGATGTTAACGGTAATTTTTGGTGCATGACATAAAATGTACACCTTGTTTTAGACGATACAAAAAATCGACTGATTTTGATGAATCACGTAAAAATTTTTCCAAAAATAACGGTAACGATAATTATTTGAGACCTCTGACCAAGGATTTGTATAATATACAAATCCTTGCTCTGAAGAATCACGATATGGATATTTTGATGAATTAAGGTAAAATTTTAACCAATTTGATGCTAACGGTAGCCGAGAATGACCGTTTGACGCCTGACGGTAAATGGCATTACTACCCTCATTAATAAGACAAAGATTTCACATTCTCACTCTTCTCAGAACCTGGAATTTTAATATTGTCAGAACCACCCAATCTTCAATCAACATCATATTCTGTCAAACATCAAAACACATCTGTATATTAAATAAAGAGGGTGCAAGGGCAGAGTATTAACCCTCAAAAAATCATAATTATCTGCTGCTTAGCATCGGTTCACAGTGTTTTCAAGGGGTACTAATCTGCTTCCACATGTATACCCTGTGTGACATTTACATTTTTAGGTTCAACGAGGCCCAACATAATAACATACCATGCCAGATTTTTCACTGCCATTTTTGGTTTAAGATAATTAATCATGAAGAACATACACTTTTTCTTTTTACGACCAATGAAATGCATAAAATTTTCATTAAGGTTTATTTTCATATTTCTGATGCAGAACTATATATATAAAACAGAAAATTAAAAAAGCTGTAGATTTAATTACTATTATAAATATCAGAGAAGCCCGCACATCAAACTATTTGATTTGGAACTTTTTTTCGGCTGTCGACCAATCAATAAAAAAAAATAAAATGTTTTCATAAAATAAAATGTTTTACCTACCTACCCTACCTAATTTTTTGGGAGGGGAAATAGGAAACACACTATTAATTTATTTTGGCCTAATCAGTCGTCTTCACTCGGTCGATTCCATTCTAGCTGATTCAATCGAGGATTGCAGATTGTTAGAATTTCAACAATCAGCAGAGTTTAAACGAGGGGAATTCAACATTGATCATCAAAATGGCGGTATGATTACAATTTTTCTAAAGTCGCTGATCCTTCAAGGTAAATTGTGGCTGTTTAAAACAGTGCATGTGGTCGTATTTAACAAATTAACGTGGTCACTGGTCACGTTAAGCAGGTGGTCGCTTAATACAGTTAAAATATATAGAGAAATCTATTGGGGTGCTTGAAAAGTGGTCGTTTACAGCAGGTGGTCGTTATGGCAGGTTTCACTGTATAAACATTGATAAAATGACAAGTTTTCTTTGAAAGGGAACTCACTCAAACAGTCTTACTAGAATATCCTGTGTGGTGTTGTTCATTTTGAAAAGAAACTGATAATTAATTATTAACTTTTACTTTCAATTTCATTTTAACGTAGTTAAACCAGCAATTGTGACGTAATGTCTTGTTACCCTTTTTGTAACCCCATAAGAACCTCATTTTATGTACTTCAGCATTTGTTTCCTCTCATCATTTTATTGTTCTGAAGATGCCAATGACTATCAAGTCATTTACTTAAGTGCCCCCCCCCCCTTTTTACAATATCACAGCAGGTCATCGTAAAATACGACAAAAAAAGGGCATGCCACCAAAAATTTCAGCAAAAAGGGCTTGGCATCTGAAAAAGTGGTGTGGCACGATGTCCTTCCAAAAACTACTGTAGAAAAACACATTATAATTTACAATTACAATGTATTTACAACAGAGTCACTCAGTCAGAGTATAATTTGTGATAATATGATACATCATAAATAATGTATTTAGTACCTGTAAGCGGGATTCAAACCCAAACCTAGGGGTTAAAAGGCAAAGCTTTAGTTCACCTGTAAAACTTTCTATATATTCCCAGAGACATATATACAATTTACATGATATATGTCTCTAATATTATAACTCCAATATAAAGAGTAGCACCAAGAACACAGACAAAATTTCAGACTAAAATTCCGCAGTTCAATCTGATAATCAATAATTAATATAATGAAACCTGTGCTTTGATTTTGTGTGCCGAATCCTCCAAATCCTGTTGATGTGGATGTAGTGGCTGTTGCTCCAAAAGGAGACGGCGCTGCTCCTCCAAAAAATGCCATACTTTCTATTCTTAAATTTCTAAATTTCCACTCCCGCGTTTCTCTCCTCCTGATTGGAGAACAAAATAGTTATCTCCCCTAAAAAGATTTCTTTATCAATCGAAAGTGATTAGAAAATTAATGATACTTTTAAGATTGATAGTTATAGTCTTACTATATAAAATTAAAATCTTTGGTAGTTCTTATAAAATTATTAAATCATTATTAAAATAATGAAAAAATATTAAACGAATGGTTTACAAACTAATGCACTGAATTCTGGTGACGTCAGGAAACTTTATTTGGATATGCCTGTTATGGTGTCATTGACATTTACTTCTTCATTCAATTTTAGCACACTGTCCCTTTTCTTTATTAAAGAAATTAGTTAATTAACTTCAGATAAAAAATACTTTCCTGGAAGAACATGTTTTAACTAGGATTTGGATCTTAAAGGATATTTATACATCCCACAACAGAAAAGACATTAAGTACAGATCTGATAATATATTGTTCGATTCTTATTTTATTTTTTGCCTGCCTTATTCTCTATGTTAACCAATAATTCAAAATTTTGTAAACTTAACACAGAACCTTATTCATTTGAGTTTTGAAAAGACACCGATGCACTTGCAGGCCAAGACAATGATTTTGTTTCAATCACGATTTATTTGGGTTGGAAATTGTATCTTTATTTTTAAATACTTAACTTTAGCTAATACTGTTTGGTAAAACTTCATAAAATATAAAAAAGAAGATTTGGTATGATTGCCAATGAGACAACTCTCCACAAGAGACCAAAATGACACAGAAATTAACAAATATAGGTCACCGTACGGCTTTCAATAACGAACAAAGCCATACCGCATAGTCAGCAATAAAAGGCCCCGAAATGACAAATGCAAAAGAAATTCAAACGAGAAAACTAACGGCCTAATTTATGTACAAAAAAAATGAACGAAAAACAACAACAGCAACAAACGACAATCACTGAATTACAGGCTCCTTACTTGGGGCAGGCACATATACACAGAATGTGGCAGGGCTAAACATGTTAACAGAATCCCAACCCTCCCCTAACCTGGGACAGTGGTGTAACAGTACAACATAAGAACGACTATAAAAATCAGTTTAAAAAGGCTTAAATCATCAGATGGATACAAAGAGAAATATATCTAACAAAAACACAGAGTGGAAGTGGCCGGGTACTTGCACATCCCAACAACAAAAAGACACTAAGTACAGATCCGAGAATACTCGCAGTTACTGACAGCTAGTTCAAAACCAATACCAACTATTAAAAAAATCATGCATCTAAGACTAAATTATCAATTATCAATCATTACACATCCAACATCCAATAGATTTAGTGTAAAGACGTCATAAACAGTCAGAGAAAAACATGACCTTGTGCAATGCCAAGATACAGGTATCGACAGATTGTAGATCCATGAATGTGCATATGTATTTAAGGAACGACTGTAATATTTTTTCTGTCTATGAAGAAATAACATCAAAAATGTGGTGCACACTGAATAACCCGCGTAGCGGGTTATTTTAAAGTGTGCACCACATTTTTTATGTTATTTCGAATAGACAGAAAAAATATTACAGTCATTTCTTAGAATTTAATTTCTAAATTCCATTTTAAACCGGAGTAAACCACGAAAAAACGTTGATGACGTCACGGTCACATGACAAAATTATGTCTATGAGCTGACAAAACAACGTCAGCCAATCAGAAGACGCGTTATATCCAAAATTAAATTATATAACAATAATATTTAGTTTGCTTTTAATGTACTGATAACAAAATCAATGTTAATACCAGTAAAATCAATATTCAAAGATCTAATTACAGTGTTGAATTGGTAACCTTTTAGAATAAGTTTATTTAAATGATCGATAAGTTTACCAGGATCGTTTCTAAATTTCCGAGCACAATAAACAACATCTCCGTAAAAATGAGGATGTGCTATCCCGCTTGAAATAAGTTTTCTACAGGTACAACCAAACTTCAAAATCAAATCTCTATATCTATGGAAGAATTTAGTAAAGGTTTTAAGTAATTTGTGGTAACGAAATCCCTGACTTCATAATTTACCAGTAATACATAGATAACGTCCATTAAAATCCAAAACGTCAAAACAGACACCGGCATAGCGAACGAGTTGTGATATATAAATACCGTAAGATGGTGCCAAAGGAACATCACCATCCAAAAAGGAAAATTAACAATAGGGAACGAAAAATCGTCCCTTTTGTCGTAAATTTTAATGTGGAGTTTCTCGTGTAAAACTGAAATATCTAAATCTAGGAAAGGACAGTTATACCGTTTACATTTGATTTATTTAAAGTAAGTTCTTTTCGGTAAATTTCGGCAGTATATTTAGAAAATTCTTTATTATTTAACGAAAAATTATCATCAAGATAACGGTAAGTGTTGTTAAATTTATCAATTAAATGCAATTTAGACGGTCTTTACTGAGTTTGGTCATAAAGTGTGATTCATATAACAATACAAAAACAAGTTTGCTATTAAAGGGGCGCAATTAGTGCCCATAGGAATGCCTACAACCTGTCGATAAACTTTGTTGCCGAAACGTACTTAAATATTAACCAGGAGAAAATTAACAGCTTCAATCATCTCATCGCACCTCCAGTTAGTATATCTCGCATATTTACCTTTCTCATTAGAGAAGAAGGCTTTAAATGAGTTGCAGCACATATATTTGCATTCAAATTCACCAAACGACCAGTTAATTAAATAGGAAAACTATGGATTGATAAGATTGTGTGGAAGTGTAGTGTTAAGTGTTTAAAAGTCAAGACTGTCAAGACTGTCAACAGAAACAAAAGCACGTAATTTATCTAAAACATCCAAATATTTTTTTACACTCCAAAAATAGTTAATTCCACTATTTTCTTATATTTTATTACAAAGTTAATGATAAGTTCTATGCTAGTAGTTAAGGAACTAGTTAAAATCTATGACAGATTAGTTGAAGAACACTTACTAGAGGCCGAGATGAAACGATATTTTACTGGGTTTTTTTTGTGTAGTTTAGGTAACCAATACATTGTAGGGACCTTCAAATGTTCAGAAGAGGCCTTAAGCTGTGTTGTTATGATAGTTTGTTTACTATATGACTCTCTGTGGAGCGCACGGACTTGAATGTAGATGAATTTAAAATTTCATTCTTAAGAACGTCCGTGCAGTATTTACGACATACATCCACCACATTGTTTGGTGCTTTGTCGGCTTGTACAAACACAAACCGCTTTGAAATTTCTTGAAGTTTATTTCTTATTCTAGAAATAGGCGTATTATGTACCCTTTTATTTCTTTCTGAATTATTTTCAAAATGTGATATTCGAATATCCACAACATTCACACATTCATTTAAATAAGAATCAAGAGATTTTTTATCAGATTTTCCTCGTTAAATTTACACAAATTTTTACAATACTAGGAAAGAGCGTCTTTTGTGACCAGACGACACTGTTCCCAATCTATTTTAGATGGAGGACGACATTTTGGTTCTTTTTAAAAAAAAGTTTTAACCCCTCTGTCTTGGAGGATATTGAGGTCCCCCGTAATAACATGGCCATAGGGATCATATCTAAACTTCGACGATTCACAGTTTCAAGTTTTCTACATTGACGTCTGATGTTACTGACGTATAATTAAAAATTAAACTTCTGCTGGGTTTTTTGTATGTGTACGAAATAATAGGTGGTTCTGTGATATCAAAATATGGACTACAACGTTTTGAATGGTAGAGTCATTAAATAAACTCGATAAGTTGATAAAATCAATACCTCTGTTAATATATTTAATTTCCAGAAAGTACCGTTTATGATCTTCAGGTTTATCGATACGCGGGAACAGCCAATGGTACAAAAAGCTGTAATTATACGCGAATATTCATAGAGTGGACCGAAGAAAGAGATTGTGTCACACATACAAGTCTGTTTAAACAGCCATACAAAAGAAAATGTCTGTCTAAATAGCTGCAGCTTATCACATGAATCATGTGTACATAACACATTTTCTGTGGCTTATAGCATACGAAGCAAGCTTAATTCGTATACTTTCCTACCAAATAATTTTTTCTCTCTTATTTATACTTTTTGCGCAATATTCTCTATCCGAATTTTTGTTTGCCCTTTATTCTGCGTGTTTACCCATTATTCTATATTCTGTAAACCACATCCAGACCTACCAGTAAGGCGAAAACCCGCCAAGGAACCACCATTTGATACAGAAATAGAAAAATAAGGAGATGTGGTATGATTGCCAATGAAACAACTATCCATCAAAGTTCAAATGAAGTGGATGTAAGCAATCATAGGCAACCGTAAGGCCTTCAACATAGAGAAAAATTCATACTGTATGGTAAATAAAATTGAGAATGGAAATGGGGAATATGTCAAAGAGACAACAACCCGCCCAAAGAGCAGAAAAAAGTATGTATGTTTTCTCATTCTGAATTCTTCTTGAAGAACAAAGCATTTAATTTAAAGGCAACTCTCAATCAGATTCCCTCCTCTTCTCCCTGTTCAAAATGTTTGAAAAGTTGGGAATCAATATTTCAAAAAAAAAAACAGCATAACACTCCCCTCTGAGTTAAATGAACGTTCCCTTACCAAGTTAAAACCAATGCAAACAAGCGTACTAGAAAAGGCTATCGAAGCTGCAGTGTTTTGGTCGTGAAATAATAACTATCTATCAAAAGAAAGTTAAACAGATTGAAGCAAACAACGCAATTTTACATACAAATTTTCAAGTTCTTTTATTTCTCTAGTATTGAAAATGTCATTAATAGTTATCAGCTAGATCGGGATGGGGGAGGGGCACTTACTATATGTGATGAGTAAACATTGGAAACGAAGTATTGATGTGTTTTACATCTAGATTGCTAATGAAAAAAAGAGGATATCTACAGATTTTTTTCAGCTATTCCGATACATTTTTTTTATTGTAGTAAGAAAGGCCACACACACACACACAGTTTGTTCGTAAAAGAGAATTGCAAGTCATAAGAAATAAAAGCAGTCTAATTGCATTCTCTTAATGTCACCTTACGCCTGGTAGACAGTCTTATCTGTCAAACTTGCTCGATTTAAAATCTGCATGGCTAAAATTCCGACATGTGTCAAAATTTCTCGCACGAACAAACTGTTCACCCGGGAATCAAGTTTTTGTATGGAATGAATATGAGCGAGACTCCCATTTGTCAAATGTGTTCATGTAAATCTGAGGAGTCCATGCATGGAACACTTCGTACTCGAATGTTCTAAATATACCTTAATACGAAACAAGTATTTTGTCAATATCAATGAGTACTCAAGTATACAAATTCACCGACTTTTGCTTCACAGAGTTACCGTCCTACGAAAAAAAATAAACATATTGCTCGGCGAACATTGTTTTCAACGTGATCCAATTGAAATGTTAGTAAATATGTGGACATTTTAATTAAAAAACTGTTGAGTGAAATGTACACTTACATGTCCTCGAGTTTAGAAAATTGAGCTTACTGTGATTTGCGTGTGCAATTAGATTGATGTGAACTTCAAATGTTGAGATTTTATCTTATAAAATGCTGTTATGTCTTTCACGAAAGATGACTTGCTTTAAAAGGTATCAATTTCTAACTCTGATATTGTGTTATGTATATTTAATTTCATTGTACATTATTCATTGTACAACGTATATGCTATTAGACGCATTTGTTGTTAACCTGCCTGTAAGTGACACCTTTGTATAGGGGTAGTTTTTAATAAATATATAGGTCTCTCATGTGGTATCAGCGATTGTCATGTTTATTTGTACAGGCGTTACATCTATTTAAATACAAATGTGAAGTATTCTATAAATAATATATATAATGTTTGAAAAAGGAAGTTTTAATTTTTTTTTACATGTTTCCTTCCTTTCTGTCTGCGAATCGCTAAAAATAAAGAATAAAACTATGATAACATGACAGCATTTGATTAAACATTATTGCACTTTTTTTATAGACGCTCGTACGATATACGTTGATTTCCCCCCTAAAAAACCCCTAACATCCCATTTTTATAACGCATTTCACGGTCTAATAACGGGAAAAAATCCACAAAGGACATTTTCAAAATCAAAACCTCAAGTGCAGTTTGTTTGGTAGTCAAAATGCTAAGTAAACTAAATTTAAATGATAAAAATACTTCCCCAAAGTTGTTACCTGTCATATAAAGTTAAATGAGTCACAATCGATCGAAACTCAAACATATACTTCCCGTATGACGTTGTAAAAAGCCTATTATTCTTCTCTAATGGATGTGCAATAAACAGGTAAGACATCTTCGTTTTAATTCATTTCACTGCTATATAAAACATTTGTTTTGAAAACAGAAAGTTAGGGAACAAACGCATTATTAATCTTTAAAAGATCTAGGAACCTTAATTATGTTCTTGTCGACTATACTTTTGAACCATTTTCATAGTTGACAAATACATGTACATGTATATACAGGCAGGTACTGAAAGTCTGTTGGGCTTCATATTCTACGTGTTGCATTCACATACAAAAAAAGCGCACACTTATAAGAGTCATACATGTATACGTAACAGCTGTTCTACCATTCTACCAAAACAGGGCACATCTTGGAGTATAAATGCACGTCGAACTACTCCATCCTCTCTCTTGACTTGCTACGATTCCCTTTCTTTTATTTCTTTCTTACTAATTTATATGTTTACCGAAAACTGCCATGATACTGAATGCCCCAGTATACCGATTGCAAGTGTCAATATAATGGCACTCTCTTAGTTATAGCAGTAAAATTGTAAAAGGGGTAAAATTGAAGAAAACAAATAAAATTAGGAAGGGACATGAAGCACAACATTTGCACTATGTCGATTCCTTGGTTCCACCGAATGTTATGCATAAGGGTTTGGATGGGGTTTACAGAATAGAGAATAATGGGGGGAAAAGTGCAGAATAAATATCTTTAAAAGTAAAAAGGGGAAAATAAATAAAGAAAAAAGTATAATGGGGTGCTAAAATATAAAAAAAAATGGGCAAAATGAATAAAGAATAGAGATGGAAAAAAAGGTTTAAATGATATTAGAAAAAAGAAATGACGGATCACCCATTCTGACCCTCAAACATACATCCTTTAACGGCTGCAAACAAATATCATTATTCAAAATTCACCTTGTGTGAACTACAAAACACGACGAGGAAACTTGATGACTAGACCATACGTAAACTAAATTGAAAATTTATTTTTCTATTCAATATCAGCTAGGTTCATCTATAAAATGACTGATCCTGACGATGCACATATCTACGAATGTGTGTCACATAAGAAAATGACGAAGAAAGAAAAGAAAGAAAAGAAGAAACACGACGAATCTCTTATCCGAGAGTTAAGACAACGATGTGATGAATTGAAAGTTCAGAATAGTTTAAAGCAAGACATCCTTGAACAAACAGACAAGAAAAATTCCAAATTGTTCGACGAAAATAAGAAATTGAAATATGATATTAAGATATTAGAACTAGGCAAAGATAAAGTCATGGCAAGGTATGATTTTTTTCTGAAAACAATTAATCAGATTCTATACAACTAGAATGTTAAAAATCAGGATATATATGATAGGAAGTTATAGGGTGAATGTCTCGGGATAATTAAACTGTTCCGTTTATGCATTCGATATAGGTTGTATTCATATTGTTCGCCTTTGAACGATAAGGGCATCTAGTATGTTCTTAGCTCACTAATAAATTTCCAATATAAAACTACAGGATACCGAAACTAGTTCGATATACTACAATCGCCGTTAGAAAAATACATTTTTCACCAGTAGTGCTCACAACCAAACGCTAGATAGAATAAAACGTGGAAGAGCAATCGATAAAAGTTTTAAAAGGTCACATAACGCCAGTGCACAATGGAGATAACATTTGATTAAAAACATGAAAAATTTTAAAATGTGACTTTGATATTGGCCTCTGAGTTTCTGGGTAGTCCTGGATTTGTATGAAGTATATATGCAACTGAACGATTAGCAAACAGCAATTAATTAATCTGATCTGGGCAATTCAAACGAACACAGTTCACACTCTAGTTCATCACATTACAATATTTAAGTTATCAAAAGTCAACCTATAGGACAATTAGTCAGTGTAGGAAAAATAAGTTAAGTAATAAATAACAACTTTTTATGAGAAGGCACTTTCTAGTTAAATTGTTGAAAGTCATAAAATTTCAACAAGTATTTAGCGGAAGCTACAAGTATATTTGTCTCGTTTTTAACTATCATCTTTTTGACACTATTATTTTGTTGAACTAGATGTACATATAAAATGTTCTGTGTGTGTTAAAAAGCATAATTAAAACAAACAATTCTAAGACTAGTATGTTTTTTTAATAGAATACTACCATCATGCTTTTTTCTCAGAATTACTGACGCCCGAATGTCGAATTACTAGTAAGTCCTTTGGTGGATAGTTGTCTCATTGGCAATCATATCACATTTCCTAATTTCTATAAAGTGTAAAAGAGAGAATTAGTTCTTATCACAACTTTTTGAAGTGTGCCTTAAAGTTTTTTAATTATGACAGTGGACTCTACTGAATACCAAAAAATGGTATCTAAATCAATATATTAATCTATACACATTTTCAACATTTGCAACCATATTAGATTTCTACCGATTCGTAAGTCAATATAGTCGTATTTACACTTTTGGTATTTAGCTATATTTCGCCTCCGAATGACCTTAGATCTATTCCGAATCACCTTTTGACGTCAGGCAACAATCTCTTTTTAATTGTGACGTCAAATGTTTTGAATTATGATGTCAAAGTTTACGGGAACCTGTGTGATTTTACGTAATGGCGGACAAATTTGCATACAAGTGTAAATACGTCTATTTAGTATCCTCCAAAAATATATTTTGACTACGTGACCCCAAATTAAGAAACAATTCATGGGGGCTTGAATTTATACTGATTTTACCACGTCAAAACGTTTCCTTGCTGTGATTGTTTTCGGTTTTACAATCGTGCATTTTCCCGTAAAATGCTTATATATATATATTCTTACGTCATCGTTCAGTGACTTCAGATAGATCATTCTTTAAAATATAAGACGTGGGAGTATGATAGGAACAGCCCTAATAATATATTCATATTTTACCACGGGTGTGTACTCAAAGCGTTTGAAGAACGTAATATTATAATTAAGAAATAGTTCATGGGGGCTTGAATTTATACTGATTTTAACACGGCAGAACGTTTTCTTGCTGTGATTGTTTTCGGTTTCACAATCGTGCATTTTCCCGTAAAATGCTTATTTTCTTACGTCATCGTTCAGTGACGTCAGATAGATCATTCATAAAAAACATAAGACGTGGGAGTATGATCGGAACAGCCCTAACAATATATTATATTTTACCACGGGTGTGTACTCAAAGCGTTTGAAGAACGTAATATTATAATTATAATTACACCTTATGTAAGAATCCTGGGTTTTGATTGGTTGATAGCCAGTGTATTTTTCACCAATTTACTGTTATCAAATGAATATCGTTCATTTTTTAACGCCGCCGGGGTATATGCAAAAAGGATATGCCTTATTTACCCTCTCTGCCGTGGTATTTGCCAAAAAAATACTCTATCCGACTGGACGCTTGTAACGTCACGATCATCAATGCGTTTTTGAACGTTAACATTCGGTGTAATTAAACAGATATAGCATGTTCTTGAGGGGTATTTGCGAAAAATACCAGTCTTGAGAATGAATTTCCCTCGCCTTACGGCTCGCGAAATTTAGCATTCTCTCGACTGGTATTTTTCGCAAATACCCCTCCTTAACATGATATATCTGTTCAAAATTATATTTTTGGGGGTCATATAGCCGTACACATCTGCATATTCGTATATTGAAACTCTATTCATTCAGAAGTCGCCATAAAATTGTAAATATTTTGCAAGGTTTTAAATTCGTAATAATATTTTAATTACACTGTCTAATATGAAATATAATTGTCGATCAGAATAAAAGAATTGGGTGGTCAGCAAAACCCAGATAAAAGACACATCTCATTGAACGACAGGAGTGATTTGATTGGTCAGAAATGGGATTATCTTTATCAACACGAATGGACTGCGGCTTATGAAGAACTGTGTAGTAAGGACAAGAAAGGAAAATGTCATAAAGGACCAGAAAGACATCTGATGGAAATAATTGAGGTACATTCTGATAACTGTATATCATTTTGTGTTATTTCATGTCACATGTGTCATATATCGTTATTAAATGTCGCATGTGTCATGTATCATTATGTGTCAATCATGTATCTTTATTTTTCAATCATGTATTGTTATTTAGTTAGAGTAGATATTTTTTTGTGGTATTTTTTAGTAATCAAATATTTATAGAAGTTATTTACGTAAAAAGATAGCAAACTAGCAAAGAAAAAAACTGTATAGCTAAATAGCTTAACACAGTATATAAATGTCCAATGACAGGGAATCGACAACACTTGAAAACAAGCAGTACATCATCTCCATAGGTCATGATGATGGGTTAAGCAGAAACAACGAAAGGCTTTCGTCATTTTATTTCGATCTAATATCATGTTAGAAGTTGAAGTAATATTCACACTTTTGTAATGATATTTGTGATTAATCTTGACATTTAAATGTTTTATCTCCAACCGAATTTTAAGAAAAAAAATGTAATGATTCTTCCTGACTATGTTAAAGCTCTTTTGTACATTTTACACATATGACGACTCATGTGTATAAAGCTGAAGAGGTAAATAAATATAATTTTAACCAAATTTTCTGCTTGCAAGTATATATCATAATGGTGCTCGATTTGTATTTTCAAAAACTATCGACCAAAACTTTAGAAAGCAAATATAGATGTGAAACATCTGGTCTTTAAACAAAATAGAATATGACAAAATTCAAAGTCATAAGCATATGTACCAAAATATATTGAACCTTAGTAAAATCCGTGTTTGTCATTAAAGAAAATGGTTTTTAGACATAAGATTATTATGAGTTTTGTATATGATTGAATAAGCTTGTATACATGTGTCCCGTGTATCATTTCATCAGTATATTTAGAAAAATCTCAAATGGTGCTCATGGCATGCAACAAACGCTTATGTCATCGGAATTACCTCTTATTTCAGTGGTGTTACCATAGATGTTCAGAACTTGCCAGAGATCAGACAGAGAAAATACAACCATTGTTGTCGGACATCACTCATCATCTGTATTTTCAACCATCTTCAAATAACAAAGTAAGTATACCAATATCTACATGTACACATCCATGAATATTTGCACCTGCATACGGAGTATATATCTCCCAGTTGATACGATATTCCAGGGCTTCTATTTCCTATCATGATTTCCTTGATAGAGGCTTGCAGCTCACAAGAAAGCTATTAAACCAAGAGTTCCAAGTGGTGAAGTTGAAGTCATCCCTTCGTAAGTTTTACGGACGCCATCACGAGTTGGTTGACCGTAATGGAATATCCGTTTCACAGAGGATAACGACTATATTGTTCCTAATGTCGCAACTACAATCCCGTACCCTTTTCCCGAATGTGATCTGCCGAATTAGACTTATTACGGGGTTTGTAATAACATGAGCAACATGACGGGTTCCACATGTAGAGGAGGATCTGCTTACCTTTCCGGAGCACCTGATATCACCACCAGGTTTTGTTGGGGTTCTTGTTGCTTAGTCTTTAGTTTTCTATGTTGTGTTTTGTGTACTATTGTTTGTCTATTGGTCTTTTTCTTTGTTAGCCATGACGTTGTCTGTTTATTTTCGACATATGAGTTTGAATGTCCCTCTGGTATCTTTCGCCCCTCTTTTACATTACTACCATTATTATTATTATTATTATTATTATTATTATTATTATTATTATTATTATATCTTCCGCTCCGGAGCACTTGAGATCACTCAAAGTTTTCGGTCGGTTTTAATTTTCTATGTTGGGTTGACTTGTTTTTTTCTCTTCTATTTCGTCGTCTTTCGTTGTTTACCATGATGATGTCGGTTTCTCGTCGACTTCTGAGTTTGAAATGTCCCCTTAGGAGGTGCAAATTGTTGAACTAAACAGTTTGAAAGATTGAAATAGTATGCTGTATTATAATATAAAATTGAGAATGGAAATGGGGAATATGTCAAAGACAACAACCCGACCAAAGAGCAGACAACAGCCGAAGGCCACCAATGGGTCTTCAATGCAGCGAGAAAATCCCGCACCCGGAGGTGGTCCTCAGCTGGCCCCTAAATAAAATTGTGTGCTAGTTCAGTGAAAATGGACGTCACACTAAACTCCAAAACATATAAATGAAGTTAGATTTAATAGCTAAAGTAAGAGATCAAACCAGTGTTATCTATGTAGAAATACAAAACAGAGCAAATAAAAATCACAATACAATTCACTTGTTTTTCGGCCGTACTTGTTTGTAATGTTTATTCCATTGTATGATTATCACAGTGAAAAAAAACTGTTTACACTAAAACACATATTTAAAAATAAATATGGTTGTTATTTAAAGATAACAATTACATCGTATATTTCTGCATCACCGCATGCATAGAAAACTTTAAGATGATAATGTATGTAAACACACCATACAACTTGCTAACTAAGCTCAACGACTACGATTTATATACTTAACCTTGTATACCAAAAATATCATAAGTTCGTTGAATATATATTTTATGTCTGAATAAATTCAACCTTAAAGTACTAACAGATTTTTAAAATTTAACGGGTGAAGTTTTTACACTTTAAATAGAATGTCTTACCCGGATACAGACTAGCATTTCGACAGTCATGTTTGACATCACTTTATGGTATAAACTTTGCTGATGTAATAAAATTCAGAATTTCATAGCTGGCTTTATCAATTATAGGATCTACTTGGGTTTTTTTTTGTGGATGAAGGGTAGAAATAAGAGTGCCGGTGTTGCAAAATCAGGATAAAAACTTAAATATAAAGATTTTGGCAACAAGGCGGACCGTTATGATATATGATCCTCCGTACAAAGTAATATTAAGTATGGGCATTACATTTTATTCTACAGCTGCAACTGTTTTTTTTTTGTTGCGTGTCGATCAGATGAGTTGTGTAAACCATTTTCAACTGACTTTAACAGATTGTTCTTTTGTAATGCTGTTACATCACTGTCCAGGGTAAGATTGAACGCTCAAAAATATTTTTTTATTCCCGTCACTTTCCTTATATAAGCCTGTTCCAAGATATTCGGTCTTTGTTGTTGTCTGCTGTCTGCCATATTTGTTATCAGTTTATCGTTTTTTTTTCATAAATCGCCCGGTTTGTTATCTTTTTTTAATTGTTTCCAATCTTGTTCATAGCGGTGCATTTTAATTATAGCTAGCTACACGATATGGGTTTTACCCATTGTTAAAAGCTTTACGACGAACTATGAAAGTAAAAATTGAGAATGAAAACGGGGTATGTGTCAAAGAAACAACAACCCGACCAAAGAAAAGAAAACAACACAAGGCCAACGATCGGTCTTCAACATAGCAAGAAAATCGTACATCATAATATATCCGGAAATCGTATACATTCTGTTCTTTATAGATCAAAGATACTAAGGAATGCGTGTCCAGTACCTTTGAAAACCTGGTCCGTCATATACGACGCTTTCAGTATGACACAGACATAGTTGAAAACATAAAACAGGTATTTATTAACTGTTTTCGTTAGACAACAATAAGATATCACCACAAAGAACTTTTTTCACATGCTGCATGTACGCATGTCAGTACTATATTTCTGTAAATATTCATTATTGTATTGTAATCCAGCAAGCTTAAACTGCACTAGTTTAAAAGGTGTATATTGTATATATTTATAGGTTATACATATGTGACTGTAAATAAAATACGGAAACATCACAACACATGTGAAGGACGTTTGATTTACAAAAAATCAAATCATTTGAATGGAAATAAATAATTCTTCCTTCGAAGTATTGTATCCCTTAACTTCCCTATAAAACAATAAAATTAGTTCGTAAATGAGAATTACAAAAGAAACGTAAAGGTTATCTTATATAAAAGACAGGATATACTTTGATTAGAAGAAAATCAAAACCAAGACTGCATTTTTTCGTATACATATATAATGTAAAAATCCTTATATGCAATGAATTATATGTTTCACTTGTACAAAATCACATGTCAATAAATTATAAAGCATATTAATATTATTTTCGTTTCGTCTGCAAATTTAAAGACTCTTAAGTGACGCTTGAATAAAAAAAGTTAACAGGCTTAAAAAAGTACACAGTTGAAAAGCGTTGAGGACACAAACTTCCTAATGAATGAGTAAGCCAAAGACAGAAAAAACCGCAAAAAATCTGCATGGAAGCATCTACTTATCTTTAACGAAAGACAGGATGCCAAGCTGAAAATAGTGTCAAATCGATATGTCAATAAATTACAAACAAAATCAAGACACGTGTATGTCATTAGAATCCAATTCTTCAAATGATATTTGAAAAAAAAACAATCAGATATGACATATGACAAGTAATGATGAATTTCCTTAGAACACTTAGGCACATGCAAATATGGCGGGATTAAACTAGTTGCGTTTAAATCTCAATCCTCCGACGCTTTTTAATGACAATATTACATTGACAAAACGTGCATATCTATAAATTAAAGAGAATATATAGAAATAGTACAGGGACAGCTTAAACAATGCAATTTTCAGTTATGTTGTTAAAGACAAATGTATTGCTTGATATTTTGCCTTCTGTTGAATTCAAAAACCAATTGTCGAGTCTCGGGAAATTTGAACATCCACCTGTAATAAGATTGTGCACCTCGTTTTAAAACTTGTAATGAAATCTTTACATTCTTCCTTGATTGCAATATGATTTTGGGTTGTTGAATTGCTTTCTTATTGACTGTTTAATTACATTTGCATTTTTTCGTCACAACACAGATAACATCAAATCCTTGTTTTGTTAAATTTGCACGTACAAAGAAATCAAACAAAGATGATTGTTATAATATGAAACTTAATATAGATTGACGTTAGTTAAAATTATAAAAACAAGCTTTTGTATTTTTAGAAATGCACAGACGAATACAAGTTACTACACAAAGAAGTTTTGAAAACAGAATTAAAGTTTGTTACAAATTGCTGTGAGCTCTGCTGGCTGATGAGATTGTCCGATCCTCCACTGGTTATAGAATATAAGAATTTGGAAGGAACCCCATTTGATGCATCAAAATTTACCAAATATAATATGGTTGGCAATAAAGTCGATCTAGTAGTATGGCCTGCGTTACTCGTTCACGATAAAGGACCTTATGTGAAAAAAGGCATTGTCAGAACGTATTCTGAAGTGGAAGATAGTATTTATGACTTTCCCCTTAAAATTCCAGCTGTTTTGATCAACGGAAAAACTCAAATTTTCAAAAACTCTGATCACACAGAAGTACCTTCGATTGACGTGGAAAACATACATTCTACGAAGCCATATCCAGCATCAAAAAGAAAGGACTACATGACAATGAAAAATCCAGAATGGCTAAGCTCAAGTGATCCCTTTTCTAGAGAAGAAACATCGACACCTAGCTGGATACATGTGAATCAAAGAAAAAACCCATTCGATACACATGATAGGCCAAATACACACCTACCTGACGAACCAAAAAAAGACTTATTTTCCAATCTCTCTAGAAGTGTAGAATATAACGGGTCAGTTGATGAGAATTTTAATCTTCGAACAAAGTATCCAAATAAAAAACATAAGCTGAAACCTCCAAAGGATGGACATTTTGTTTCTTATCTGAATACATTGTGACGTCTCGGTCAGTTCGTTTCCACCATTTTGATGTTCAATTAGAATGCATTTGTTTGCTTATGTATCTAGTACATTAGATGTAACTGCTTAACGATACTTAGACTAAATTTTTAATCGTTATTCATTTATTATTTTAAAGTGCAATAAATGACCCCATTCCTCACCACTAGAATATGAACCTTTAAATAAACTCAGTTTATATGGACGAGATATAAAAACGATTGTGTCTTTTATCTGGTCTTTAAATATTTCTGACATTAAGATATTTACAAAACAGAAACAGTGTCATTATCTAAAGTAAAAAGAACAAAATGCATACCAGATTTTTCCATATTAGATTGTAAGTACTCGACGTACATGGCTGCACATGCTACCATGACTATTCTCCTCCACAATTCATATATGTTAACGCAAATTCCCCCCAAAAATATTAACATATTGTCGAGTTCAAAGAGATCAAGATATGTTCTAAAGTAGATCAAAAGTTATCTTACTTCCTATACATTTCTAGGAATATGATTGTTTAAAAGCCACCTCGTGGAGACCGTGTATATTTCATATTAGGTTAGTAGGGTTCCATATTGGATTAGTAGGCGGGGCTTATTTCAATACATGGTTAGTAGTGGTGTTACGTCCCTTTATAAAAACAACACGGTGATGAGGAAAAATCTTAAAGGTTTCAACAGACGAAGAAATTGATGATGAACGATTGGAATAAATTCATAAAACACATTTAAAGATAACAAGTTGTTATTGTTGGCATTTGTTTTTGTATAGACTAATGGAAGTAGGTTCTCAATACTAACGGTATTGAAGACTTGATCACTTTGATAGGCCACTAGTCTAAATACCACATGTTAAGATAGTCTGTAAGATAAATTCGTTACATATTGTGCTAGTGACCTGATACGATCTATATGGGGTCAGTAAATTCCATATGGGGATTCGAGCTTCGCTCTCACCCCATATGGAATTACCTTCCTCAGGAACACTCAAAGTGGATTATTTGAAAGCCAAGGATGTATAAGAACAGTTGAAGAACTATATGACCAAAAAGGCCTAAAAATAATAGCCAAATCCATCTAAGGGCAACTTAAATTGACTGAGGGAGTTGAAACCTTAGTTTCATAATAATTTCTAAATTTGTAAACGGACATTTTAAGAAAGGTTTGCTATAAATCATGTCCGTGCCGAAGTACTGATTGCTGAGCTGATAATTTCCCCGGAGACTGATTACACTGGATCGAACCAGTGCTTTAAAAAAGGAGAACAACACATTATAAATGTCATGCATCCGAAGCGCTTTTCTGGATTAACCTTCAGCAGGAACGCTTGAAGTCGAAATTTGAAAAAAAGGCCTAAAATAGTAGCCAAATCCATCTAAGGTTAATTTGGCTTATCCAAGGATGTATAAGGAAGAGCTATATGACCAAAAAGGACATTAAAATAATAGCCAAATTCATCCGAGGTCAACTTTGTCTGAGGTAGTTGCAACTAAATTTTTATTAATCGATAAATTTATAAACGGTCAATTTCAGAAATGTTTGTTATAACTAATTGTCAGTCAGAATTGCCTGCTGAGCTGGTGATACCCTATGGGACTGATAGTCCACCAGCAGCGGTATAGACCCAGATGAGTTTCTTATATGTTCCACAACATGTAACAATTAACAAATATCAAGAACACGATAAATATGCCAGGTTGAAGGACTCTTTAATAAACAAACAAAATATAAATACAGATGTGTTGAACATGTACCAATATTTTGATCATCCAAAAATAAAACAATGGAAATAAATAAACTTTTAAAATTGTACAAAGGAATAATATATTTGCCAATTTCACGGGAACTACATAAATGACCATATTTTGGAATATTCTTCAATCTACAAGACGCTAGCGGTTACTCAAAGTTTGAGTATCTGCATCTTCATAGAGTGTAACGATCTAACTGCTGTAAAACAGATTGATCTTTTTCTAGATTGAAATCCAATTTAAGGCAAAATATCTTTAATTAACTACTCCATATATTTTTTTTACATTATTCATATATATATATATATATATATATTTGCTGGTAAATATGTAGAACTCGGAGGTGCGATTGGGACGCTGAAGTGTGACTGTAACCCTGACGTGCAATGATCTGCCGTTTTTTTTTTATAAAATTGACGTAGTCCGAGATAGAAGCATGTTATAGCACAAATCCTTTAATATTTCCCCCAGTCCCAGTAAAGAAAAAATATATGAGGATCTATCTTATTCCGTGCTCTTATTCCCAGCAGCCGAATATATTTGTTACTTATTTTGTGTCGTTGTGACTAAGCAAGTAGCATTTGAATTTCTAATAGCTTCCTCGTTGTTCAGTATTTACTATAACATTAGTTTTGATTTGAATGGACAGTAGCCTTTGCATATTGGTCAATTTCTATATAAACACTTTGTATGAACGTTGGATTATTTTTTCCAAGCATATTTACAAGGCAAACAACAACGTTTCAGTTATGAGGGTATGGATAGGGGGTCCTTTTGTATTCTTTTTTTTTTTCGCTCATTATCATTCATCTTTAAAAAATAATGGCTATTCTGTAATTACTTGATAACTGTATTTGGGACATTGTTCTTTTCTTTAATTAGTATATTTTTACCCAATTCTTTAATTGTTGCAGCTATTCTTTATGTCTTAGCACCCCGTTATTCCCTATTCTATATTTTTTGTGCCCATTTGTCTCTTTTATTAATTTTTTTGCTGATTTTTCTTTGTTCTCTAAACTCCATACACACCTCCAGTTATGATACGAAATAGTAATGACTTTTTTATGATTTACTTAAAAACATGAAAAGCTGCTAATAAACAAATCGACTTCTACATCGATATGAGAACATGTAAAACATTGAACATAAAGCTTATGTAATCCATCGCACTTCAGCGTTACAACCAACAAACTTCGGCATAGGTATCAACAAGATAACATCAAAATGCTACCATCGCATTCAGCGTGATAAAAAACACACTTCAGCGTCCAGCCATCGCATTCAGCGCGACCGTCGCAGTTCGGAGTACAAAATGTACAATCGTGGTTTAGATTCCTACAAATATACAAAGGCACATTAAAAAAAGGTGGTAGCCGTTTTAGCTTTTGAGATACGAACTGAAAGAAATTAACGTCACCGTAACGGCGTGATAACCAAAAATAAAAAAAAAAAAACATATTGGAAAATCCTAAAAATCAGCAATTGTTTTTACATTATCAGGATTTTCAAATTGAATGGTCAACGCAATTCATATTGTCCTGATCTTTATGAATCAAATATCAAACGTTTTTGATCGTTACTTGAGTGTGTATTCAGAATTTGTTATTTGTTTTTACAACATATCTAAAAGTGAATAAGGTCAAAATGCGAAACTGATGCCAGGTGAGCCTATATTTATTTATACTTTTTTTGATAAATTGGCATTGGAAAGATGATAGAAATGCAACCAAAAATATATAGCGAAGATCTCTGTAAATGAAAGATGTGACCCATTACGTATTTTAGTTCATTGTTTTAGAAATATTCAGCAGCTCTATTATATAAAAAAGACACCCTGTATGCCCTTATATATTTACAGTTAGGGTTTTTTGCTTGTGAGAGAGCTGTCTGGATATGTTTGTTCATTTCTGTGTCATTTGGGCTCTTGTGAAGAGTTGTCTCATTGGCAATCATACTACATCATCTTTTTTTATACATACTGAATAGTCAAATGCATCAGCGACTAAAAAAGTATTATTAAACAAAAAACTGAACTCCAAGGAATATTTAAAAAAAAGTAAAAATCCATAAAACCTGACAAAATCAAACGTTCGACAAATTAACCAACGCCGCGGCGCGCGCGCGCGGCAATGGAACGAAGGCAAAACAACTTTGATATTCCTGACTTTAAAGAGGCATTTTCCGGATAAAATTGTGGGTTAAACATAGTTCTATAGCTAGCTGAACCTCCCACTTGTATACCAGATAAATTAAACTTATGAAGTTGAAACTATAGCTGCTCAGTAAATCTCAATTTCTAAACATGGAATTTCAGAAAAATATGTCACAAATCATAGATAATTACTAACTGTTGAGCTAATGATAGCCATAGGAACTAGTAGTCCACCAAAGGCGATCACGACACTGTACTAGACAAGGAAAATAACGCTTTTCTTGATTCATCGTCATCAGAAACACTTAAACCCAAACGTTTTAGATCAGTATCAGTTCGTGAAAACGTAAGGAGCCTTATGACCAAAAGTGACGTAATGGAATACTAATAGCAAAATGGATCTAAGGGCAACATTTTTAGGAAGGCGGATCCATTATTTTTTTTATCAATTTCTAAATGTATAATTTTAGAAACGTACGTTACAAATCATTTGAGCACCGAAGCACTACCTACTTATGAGACTATCTGCTACTGGCAGCGGTATCGACTTAGAAAATAAAAATAACACTTTATAGATTGAGGGCGATTGGGCCTATTTCTAGAATAACCTTAATCGAGGACGCTCAAACCAAACACAAAATGAAAGCCGAGGAATCATAAGTTATGTTATTTATTAGTACAATAAATTGAAAATAAAACAATGAAAACTACTCGACTCCTTAATGTTCATTCCCAAATGAATCGCTGATAGCTATCAAAGTCTAGGAAATTAGATACTAGTAGTTGAGAATAATAAGAGCAATACTGAAAATAGAAACGGGGCAAAATAAATTAATAGCGATGGATATCTGACATAACGTGTTAATATTGAAACAGACGATCGCGACTTTTAAAAAAAATCAGATGTATTTCGGCATATTTATATCAATTCAAATAAATTCAAATATTTATTGTCATATAAACTCTTAACAATAAGTTTGTGACAAATTATATTTCACGTTAGAAACTAAGGTTTCAATTCCCTCAGGCTAAGTTGACCTTAGATGGATTTGACTATAATTTTTAGGTGTTTTTTTGTTCATATAGCTTTTCAATTGTTTCGGTTCTTTTACATCATTTACTTTCAAATATTCTGAGAAAATTGACATTATATTGTCAGAAGTGTGTAATAATTTAAGATTTATAATTAAAAAAAGGGTTTCTGTTTTGATGTTTTGTCTATTATAAGAGGTGTTTCATGCACAAGTTGATTGTAAGGGTACATAAAGTACACATACTAAAGGTAAAAATAAATAATGACGTATCAGATAACATTAATGAATTCCTGGTAAGATTACTTCCGAGGTTTTTACATTAAGCTTCCGTGAATCGTCAAACATTTACCAGGTAAGGCATTGTTTAAAGTCATAAAAACTGTAAGCAGAATGTGTACATATTTTGTGATATTGACTTACCTCAAAACAAACACTTTGAAAAAATTAATTTCAGTTGATTTCGCCTAAATTAGTGTAAAACTTTTAATTACAATTAAACAAATTTCTGAATTCAAACTTCGATTTTCTTTTTAATCAATATATCTTTGTTTAATTAATCACTTCTGTAAATAACTTTTTTTCTAAATATATTTATGTTCTGATTTGAAGGAAATTTTTTTTTTAAGAATAACATTCACTCGATGAAGTATACATAGCCGAAATGGCGAAAAAAGTAGAGGTCACTCTCATAACAAAACTCCAAAACTATTCCCCACGGGTACTGATATCAGTTCGTTAACTACTGAATTAGAACTTAAAAAGGAATTGCTGGACAAAATAGATAAGAAAACAGCCAGTTGTTTTCAGAAAATGAGCGACTGAATCAAGAAAATGAAATATTAGAAAGGGACAAGGAAGCTGCTCTCTCAAGGTAAGAAGTGTATGCAAGATTAAACAATATAGCCATTGTTAATTATATTATGAAAATAAAGAAATACATGTACCCATACACAATTTTTCATTAAAAAGTATTTTTTTTAAAACACAAAGATGTGTGGTCCATTATGCCATTGACATACTAGATCCGATCGCGCTTTTAAATCTTTACCATATGATAATCCCTTATTGTCTACCGCTTTAAGTTGATTCAGTGATATGTCTTTACTTTAAATATTTACTTTTTTAATTACAAGTTTAATGCTGTGTCCGTATAAACTGTACTATAACTAGTTTCCGTTCTGTGATTGCTTTACAATCTTTTCACTACTCTTCCTCCACAAATAAAATTTTGTCAGCACCGTTAAGTGCATATTCATTTAGAATTGCTTATTTAGGTTAAGTAAAATAACAGGAGAGAAACTATCAAAAGGTAACCCATTCATAACAGATCTTGGGGACCCAAACAGGCCTACGAAACTTGGAGAAAGATGGAGTTCGCTTTATACCGATGAATGGACAGACGCTTTTGAAGAAATAAATGCAAAATGTAAGACAAATACGACTGTTGTCCCAGAAAAGATCTTATTGAAAATAGTGGATGTAAGTAGTAAAAAGTTAAACATACGTAGAAAAAAGCACCATATACAGTATACTTTGTGTGTAACTACTATACCGGTAAGATATTTATTAAACCCATTATTAACATGATCTATAGCTATTTACATTAGTCTTATTGGCCATCATGCCACATCTCCTTATTCTTTTTTTATATTAAGGCATACTGAAAAGACAGAATTGTCGACAACAGGTATCTACCGAATCGATAGTTTATTGCATATACGTGTACAAACTTTAAAAAATGACGTTCGTAATTCTATAAGGATCATATGTCAAATACTTAAGAGATAAAACAATTGGTTGAATTTTCATTATTCAGTACCTTTTTAACCAATCACAACGATTTTGTATACATTTATGAGAATGATACCTAGAATGCATTACATTCTGAAACGGTGAATTGAACTCTGTAAGTACAATATGTGATACTTTAACCTTTGATATGGTGATCTTATTTTTTGATATTATTTCATAAACTTGTAATTAAACAGAATATATCACTTAAATCAATCAAATACCAAAATACTCGTTTACGTACATCTTTTAAATCTCATGATGTAGTAATGAGTAGTAATGATTAAATTTAGAAATTAGCTCTTGCTTTTATTCACTGTTTTGTCATTCAATAGATGTAAAAAATAGCTCTTTCAATCAATGAATTTCATTTTTCATATTAAGTGGTGTTACACAACTTCCAGCAAGTTATCTCAAAATCAAGCCAAACGAATTGAGCAGTTGCTTCGGGATGTTGCTCTTCAATTAAATTTGCAAGACGAAAGCAAAAATTACATCTTAAGTAATCATATTAAATTAAAATGTTTTCACGATTATATAGTTATCTAGCATTTTATGATTATGAAATAAAGAAACCATCCACGTGAAAAAATACCACATTTCTTTCTAGCTATTGGTTATTCTGAAATACAAGCATATATATACGTTGGTTTCTTTTTACGCAGATGCACGTTGTCATTGTGACGTCTTAAACATGTATTGCTTTACACAACTGAGCAATAATTGCCAATTCAAGTATAGTGTTTGACAATTGAAATTATGAAAACGGCCTTTACAAAAGACGTACCAAACACCTTTGTTCAACTAGTTACAAAACAAGAAGATTTCAAAATGAGTCATTTATGTCATTTTTGCGGATCTTTCTGAATTGAAGGCCTCAAGCAAAAATGTAAGACAACATTCAAAAATATCAAATATTGATGTATAACAGACTAATTACTCTTGAACAGTACAGAGGTGCAATTTGATAGTTATATAATACATTTTTAAAAAAAGTCTTTTGATTGAAATCGAAGCGGCCTGATCATAAGTTTTCATTTTGAACTTAAACAGTTCACTAATTTTATCATGTAAACAGCAAAACCACAATCATATATAGAATATACAGTGGGCAAATGATAGTCCATATAACGTATAACAACGAAAACATCTAGACGTATATGTACAAGTACGGAGACAGGAGAGCAAATGTCTGAGAGCGGTTATTTTCTTTAGCTTGTACAAATATATCTTATATTACTGCCAAAATAAATACATTGAGCATGTTTATTTTCAGCAACATTTAAAAAAAACTTCACAAATAATACATGATGGTCTTGAAGTATATTTAAGATACTGGCGTATTTTGTCATCTTTTAAATTAGGTGTTATAGTGTTCTTTTATTTGTCTTTGTAAATTATTATCCTTTTGGCGTGGCTCGGTACTTATACATCCCGCCATTGTGTTATTGTGCCATGGTCATTTTTTGTATTCTTGTCTTTCATTTTTGCTTATATGCTTTGTCTATATGCCATTTTGGTTTTCTCTGTTCATATTTTTGTTTGTTTTTATAGTGATTAAAATGATAACACAATGTTAACTGCTGTACCCCTATTTGTGACATTACACGTATGTCTGGGGTTTTTTTCACACATTGTTGTCAATATAATTGAATTTTATGCGACTGTCGTACAAGTGAAAAGTTGTTTTTCATTCGTTTGGTGCGTTTGAGCTTTTGATTTTGTCATTTGATGAGTGACTTCCCGTTTTGGATTTTCCTTGGGTTTCGGTATTTTTGTTATTTTACTTTTTCATACAGAAGGAACTGAAACACTATATATTTAATGTACAGACTATTGGAAATGAAGGCTAAAATCATGTCGGATATAAAAAAGAAGATGTGGTTTGATTGCCAATGAGACAACTCTTCACAAGAGACCAAATGACACAGAAATTAACAACTATAGGTCACCATAAGGCCTTCAACAATGAGCAAAGCCCATACCGAATAGTCAGCTATAAAAGGCCCCGGTATGACAAATGTAAAACAATTCAAACGAGAAAACCAACGGCCTATATAATGTACAAAAAATGAACGAAAAACAAATATGTAACACAGCAACAAACGACACTTACTGAATTACAGACTCCTGAATTGGGACAGGCACATACATACAGAATGTGGCGGGGTTAAACATGTTAGCGGAACCCCCGCCCTTAACTAGGGACAGTAGTGTAACAGTACAAAAATAATAACGAACTATAAAAGGCCCCGAAATGACAAATGTAAAACAGTTCAAACGAGAAAAACTAACGGCATAATTAATGTACAAAAAATGAACGAAAAACAAATATGTAACATAGCAACAAACGACACTTACTGAATTACAGACTCCTGAATTGGGACAGGCACATACATACAGAATGTGGCGGGGTTAAACATGTAAGCGGGAGCCCCCGCCCTTAACCTGGGACAGTAGTGTAACAGTACAACATAATAACGAACTAAATCAGCTGAAAAAGGCTTAACTCATCAGATGGATACAAATAGAAATACATCTAACAAAAACACAGAGTGGACGTGGTCGGGTACTTGTACATCCCAACAACAAAAAAGACACTAAGTACAGATCTAAGAATACTCACAGTTACTGACAGCTAGTTCAAAGCCAATAAGAACTCATAAAAAAATCATGCATCTAAGACTAAATTATCAATCCGTACACATCCAACATCCAATGGGTTTAGTGTAAAGACGTCATAAACAGTCAGAGAAAAACATGACCTTGTGCAATGCCAAGATACTGGTATCGACAGATTGTAGATCCATGAAAGTGAATATGTATATAACAATAATATTTAGTTTGTTTTTAATTTACTAATAACAAAATCAGTATTAATACCAATAAAAACAATATTCAAAGATCTAATTGCAGTGTTGAATTGGTAACCTTTTAGAATAGGTTTATTTAGAGGATCGATAAGTTTACCAGGATCATTTCTAAATTTCCGAGTTTGGTCATAAATTATGATCCATAACAGTACAAAAACAAGTCTGCTATTAAAGGGGCGCAATTAGTGGCCATAGGAATACCTACAACATGTCGATAAACTTTGTTGCCAAAACGTACATAAATATTATCCAGGAGAAAATTGACAGCTTCACTCATCTCATCACACCTCCAGTAAGTATATCTAGAATATTTACTCTTCTCATTAGAGAAGTAGGCTTTAAATTAGTTGCAGCAAATATATTTGCATTCAGATTTACCAAACGACCATTTAATTAAATAGGAAAATTTTTGTTTGGTAAGATTGTGTGGAAGTGTAGTGTAAAGAGTTGAAAAGTCAAAACTCCACACAAAAAACAACACGTGGGAGGAAAATCCTAGGCGATAAGGCAATAAAAAAAACTAATAAGATCATGACCAAAGAAAAACACTCCACAGTCCACAAAACTCTTCACAGAAAAAAAAACATTAAGCAAAACTTATTTTGCCAGACAGTGAAAAAAGATCAATGTTTCTTTTTTCCAGAATCAAAATATCTATGCAAAATGCAACATGACAGTATCTGAAGTAGACGACTCAATTAAACTTTTCATTGAAACCTTCAGAAGTCAAAGTCAGAATAATGAACGGTTGATGGAGAAAGCAGTAAAAGTATGTTAATCTAACACAATTGTTATTATTTTCATTCCAACTTCAAAAACTGAAATGACTTTTATTAAGAAGTTAATATCGTAAATTTTATAAAAGAGAGGCGAAAGATATCAAAGGGACATTCAAAATCACAAGTCAAAAATAAACTGACAACGCTATGGCAAAAAACGAAAAGACCGACATACAAACAACAGTACATAAAATACAACATAGAAAACTAAAGACTGAGCAACATGAACCCTACCAAAAACTAACACAATTTAATATAAATATAGTATTTTTATTAAAACTTTAGAAACTGAAATGACCTAAGATCGTATATTCTTAACTTAACACTAGATCGTATATTCTTTACTTAGCACAAGTATATGTCTCTTTCGAACTTCAAAAAATATTTTCACAACTGCACCCATCGGTACTCAGACGTACCGTTATTTAGGAATTTTATACTTGTTTTTATGCTTTTCCAGATAAGGATACATGATCCATCAAAGTATCTGTCATTTTTGTTCTATACAAAATTTATAGAAGTGCAAATTTTCAAATTTTATATTATGTTTACATCCAATATAAGTCTATTTCAACAGAACGATATCGATATTATCAAATTAAGAGATGAATTCTCATCATAAGTCTTATAATGATTCTCTGATAGTATACCATCCACATTCCAGCTGCATATATTTTACCTACTTCTCATCTCTTCTAGTGGCATATTTTGAATTTGTATTTGAAAATTGGTTATACATGTTATATGTGAATATAGAGCAAACCTAGGCTTCCTCTATTTGATAAAAGTATTTTGTTTTAGCCTTAGTCGATATTATGATGATACTTAATTATTCTAATTTCTAACTTAATATGATCAAAGAAGTATACTTATATGTCTTGCTCTGTAGTAATTTCAAAGTTATTTTTTACTTCAAGATATATATAACAATTCTACTGTATTCAAGTAATATTCCTAAGTGATAGTATAAGTATATTATACAACACCTGAAGTGTAAAAATTAACAAGAGTAGTTGAAGTTATAATAAAAAAACAATAAATTTGAAATTGAAAAGAAATAAGAAACAACAAATAAAGTTGTTCTTTATTTGCTGAATTATAAAAGTCAAATTAACTGAATGGTCCTTGACCACGTCCGCCTCCACTGCTTTGAGTTGTATTGCTTTCGCGTGCTGCGTCTTTATTAGCCTAAAGCTATGTCAATGGAAATATGATGTATGACGCAAGCATAGAAGTTCCATTACTGGCTAACTGAAACCCATTATGTACATCGATAAAACGCGGAATTGCTTAACCCTTGTAGGCCATGTTACCATTGTCACATTAAGTTATTGATTTACATAACCTGAACCTATCTATGATCATAGCAGAGTGATAAATTGGCCTTTGTTATTGTATTTCTGCAAATCTCTTCTTGGATTGGAAGTGATAAAATGATTTTTGTATTGGGATAAAATTCATTTATTGTCTTCACCCATTTTATCTACACACATTGCTAGATTTAGTTCATTTGTTAGAGTATGGGGAACCAGAATATTTGGTACCAAATGGTAATTTCTAATCCCCTTTTCAGTTTCGTATAGGGTAAATATTTGAATTTTATTCAATTTATAGTTAAATAATAGCTTTTCCGGCTTCATGGTACTTGTATTTGAGGATACAATTATTGTAACATGATCAGGATGAATATTGTTTGTTTTTTCTCACAACATCTTTAAATTTACCACCACTATCGTCTTTACTGTAATGTAATTTTGAACTAAGAATCTGTTGATCCTTTTGTTCCATTTGACGATTTATCCCAGTAAAAGCACTTTCTTATAAGTCAATGCTAGCAGATTTCTGCGTTTAATTATTTGAAATCATATCTCTTGTCAGAGAACAACTTGTTAATTTTGTCCAATTGAGCCACATTTTGCTATTGAAGAAGTGTGCATTTAGACTTCAAGTTTGTTTTAGTAAATTTTTGTTAGAGTAGAAGTATGGTAAATGTTACTTAATTTTGTCCTTAGTTCACCTTTTTCTCTCTTCACAGTGTCCTTTTACTTATCATATCGTCATATTTTCCCATTTATTTAGGAAATGTGTTTTAATTTTATTGAATACTTTGCATATACAGTTTGTCCATTTTCTCCATTTTGCAGGTCAATAGAACTGTTCGTTAATTGCATATTTTATTGATGGCATTTGTGAAATGGGTCTCCATTCGGAACATAAATTTCATTAATAGCTATCTCTCAGTTTCACTTGTATTTTGACATGGTACCATAATCTTATCTCCAAGTGTCTCTATGTTCACTTTAGTAGAGGGACGAAAGATACCAGAGGGACAGTCAAACTCACAAATCGAAAACAAACTGACAACGCCATGGCCAAAAACAAAAAGACAAACAGACAAACAACAGTACAGATGATATAACATAGAAAACAAAAGACTAGTAGCTTGAGGTGTATCGCTATTTCGGTCAAATTTCTCTTCTTTACTTTATCTATTTTCAGAAATGTGTTGACGACTATCTATCATCAAACAAGGAAGCTACAGAAAATGAAATATTTTTTGTTAAGAAATGTTTAGAACTTTGCTGGTGCATATGCATTGCTGATCCACCGATGGTTATCGAATACAAGAACTTTGAAAGAAATAAGATTGACTCTACGAAATTTAATAAATATAACAGATCTGGAATAACCGTGGAATTTGTAGTATGGCCTGCTTTGCTGTTATATGAAGGTGGGCCTGTTTTGGCAAAAGGGACTGTGCAAACGAATGGTTAAGGAGTAAAATTTGTGAGCCTTGAATGGTATCTTAACATTTAAGAGGGAATTATTCGGCACGGATTAGCGTGAGACAACAGAAAGACAGATTTTACAATATATAGGAAATATTTGTGTCTTTGATAAGGATGAATTTCAGCACAGGAATACGTGAAATAAAAGCTGTCGACACGTTAAACAATTAATCCTCATTTACGAAACACTGTTTCAGTACTGGATCATTTCTAACCTTTCTCAAATTCATCTGCCAGCAATTCTCTGGAGAACTGTTCTTGAGCAGTCTCTAGAACAGTTCTTCTGACAACTTTCATACATAGTCACGATAAATAAGTGTACACAAGAACAGTTTGAAATGTTCTAGCCTAGCATAGTTTTTGTCAGTTCTATCTTAAAATAGTTTTGGACCGTCTTACCCTAAAATGATTCTGACAGTTTTATCCTAGAACTTATTCCGACAGTTCTATCTCAAGAAGTTTTTTTGGTTGGTTCTATTTTGTAAAATTATTATGAGTTTTACATATTTATTTATATTTACTCCACTATTGATTTCCTTTATAAAGAATTAATATATTCTTTAAATTTATCTTTGTTATTTCAAATAAAATATTTTTGGAAATCGTTTTTACTTTAAGATTATAAATATTTAGTATTGATCATGATATGACATTGTTATTTTTTAATTGGTTTGGAGATTTTGATTTTGATTTCCATAACAGATCTTTGACATTTTCTGTTTAATATATTATCATAGTTGTTTCAGATTTGGAACGAATTAAAGCTTGACAAATTGTATAGATTTTTCTCTCGTGGTGCTCTCAAGACGTGTTTGTTTTTGTATTGTTGGATTACTGTCTCATTCACGTATACACAGAATAGTATTTTTTCATATTGTGTCCATATTTTCTATCTAGAAAGACCTCTTAACAAATCTCAAAACAGGCAGCATATTTGAGCAGTGATACTTTACCTAAGTAGAATGACAATATTAAATATATCTAAGGTATGTCATAGTTAAAAGCGCTTACGCATATACCACACACTTTCGATACAATATAAAAAGGAAGTCTTCCTTAAATAACAGAAATAAAATGTTCTAAAAATAAATTCTTTTAAGGTACTTCTGCCTTGGCACTTAAAAGAACTTAAAATTATCATTTGAACTTCAACTCATGAATATGAATTGTTAATCTAAAGGAAAAGTGTCAAAATAAAATGAAGTAAAAGATGAATCAAACAGTTTGCACTTATTTGATGAAGTAAATCCCCTTTTTTTTATCGACACAAAATTGTTTTAGGTAAGGGACTGGTTGCCCTAGGTTCTCATTCATATATGCACACATATAAATACCAATGCATACATACATGACATATCAACAATACATTTCGATACATATGGACTTACACATTAGCAACATAATTATATTAAAAATGTACATATGATAACAAAGCCAGACATATACATTCTTCAGCTTTTCAGACGATCGGTTGAATAAAAGAATATCAATTTTTCTTCAAATGATGAAGCACCTTTGCTAACATACTGATTATCACTATATTTGTCTTAATATATAATTCTACTATATTTCAATATTTTCACTGTGTCTATTTGCTTGACCTTGCTATTTGATACATAATGTGCTTTATAAACTGATAATAGATATAAGAAGATGCGGTATGAGTGCCAAAGAGACAACTCTCCATCCAAGTCAAAATTTATAAAAGTAAACCATTATAGGTCAAAGTACGGTCTTCAACACGGAGCCTTGGCTCACACCGAACAGCAAGCTATACAGGGCCCCAAAAATTACTAGTGTAAAACCATTCAAACGGGAAAACCAACGGTCTAATCTATATAAAAAACGAGAAACGAGAAACACTTATGAACCACATCATCAAACGACAACTACTGAACATCAGATAAGAACATTAAACAAGTGATTCAGTGCAAAATAAGGCATCATCATAAATCTAGCAGCATTCTATTACCAGAGAATGAAAGCTTATTATATGTTCATTACTGTCAAGTTTTTAAGTACTCGTTTCAATGAATCCCAACAGGTCTAATGATGTGAATAGGTGATTACATAATGATTGTAGTTATCTAATTCATTACATGTACAGAGGTTGTTTTCTGAAATTTTCCATTTGAACAACAGCTCCTTATTTGGCAAAATTAAATGCATTAATTTCCATCTGAACATTTTGAACTTATTAT